GTTTTTTTTAGCTTCTCTCTTGTGATGTTAAAGGAGTTTCAGATCAGAGGTGGTGAGAGAAGCAGTCACTTCTCTGAGATGAAGGCCAAAGCTTTGTCAGTGAGAGAGTGCGCCTGGTTGTCAGAGGAGTGCCACCAAGTAGAAGATCTGGAAGACTCCCAGAGGGACGGCCTGTGCTTACCAAACATCTTCAGGTCCAAAAAAGTCAAGCCGCTCACTAGAATTCAAACTGGACCCACTTACCAGATCTACTATACAGCTCAAGAGCTCCTTCTGGAGGTTCTGGACAAAGGAGCCGTGCGAGAGCTGATCAGGAGAGCAGCTAGGGTGAAATCAGGAGTTAAGTACCAGAGCAGAGAGCAGAACATAGATCTTTCTGAGGTTGAGTATGCCGAGGCGTTAACATGGTTCTCCATAGTCCTGCAGAGCGGTCTGTCTGTCGGAGAGAACTGCAGCTTTGGATCCGAGCTCACCTTGAAACTGGACGGCTGGCAGAGTGTCCTCAAGAGGAACAGCTTCCAGACAAACCTCCTGTCCCTGACCAGACTGGAGGATGGAGACAAGTTGGAAACACTCTCTGCTTTCTGTAGCCACAAAACCAGGCGATACCAGGCCTTGTACAAACCTGGTCCCAACTTGGCTGTGAAGAAATACAGACTGACCTACCAGGAGAGTCCCAGCACTCTCCATTTGGCTCTCCTTTGTGATATAAGCTCTGGATTCATCTGTAATGTGTATCTGTACTGTCCAGAGCAGCTCCAGAAGCAGAGCAGGAAACCTGTGGTGGAGCAGGTGGTGGGCCACCTGCTGAGACCTTTCTGCAGCCACAAACACCTGATCCAGCTGGACAAATCTGCCTGGATGGAGTGCAAACTAACAGACATCTTCTCTGGCTTAGGAGTTGATCTTACATTCGTTTCAAATGTCCAACAAACATCTGAGGACTCACTGTCTCACCTCTTAACCCACTTACAGGGCTGGACCGGACCTGCTCTGTTTCCTCTGTCAGACCTGAAAGGATCAGCAGTAGATTTGTTTCTCCCAGGCCTCTGGGCAATGCTGCACATCATCTGCATTAATACATTTGTGCTCCACACACTGCAGAGCTCGGGCTCAGAGAAGCATGTCCACCTCACAGAGTTCACCAGGAGTCTGGCCTCTCAGCTGGCCGCGGATAGCTGTGTCACTGTGCCTGTTCTGCAGCAGTTAAACAGCACTTCCTGTCATGAGACGAGTTCAACAAAGCACAGGTCAGTCTGGTTATTTGTAACAGAGCTTAGATTTAAATAAAAAATTGCCTGAAAGTTGTCTAAAAACTTGAAAACAAACAAGAACAGAGATGACTTTCTACCGTTGAAAGGCTTTCATCTTCAAGATTTTTGAATCAAGACCAAAAGTGGAAGACTCCATTATGTACAAGTAGTTAGTAGTCAGTAAAAAGAAATCAGCAGAATTCATTTCAATAATTTCAATATCAAGAAAACATGAGTTCATCTAAAAGACAGTGAATGTATCTCCTATAAATCTCTCATATCTGTAAAGATTCTATCCAATGGTTAAATATAGTTTTTTTCTTAAAATAGCCAAGAGTATGAAGATCCAGTGTGCTGTGAGTTTAAACTATCAGTCAACAAGTATATGACATCTTTAAATAACTGGCAAGTCTGACAAAGCAAATAGTTCACTTACAATGTTTTTACATGTTTGTCCAACATGCTAGAGTCAACATGTTTGTGTCTACATTCAGTGATGGCAGAGGTAAATGGTTCTGATAGGGTACTGACTGTCTCTGGTCTTGCAGCAGCTGTGGTCGGGTGATGGAAAGAGAAAAACGAAGCTGCAGCTCTGCAGGGAGGCTGAGGCGGCTGAACAGACCTGGAGTGTGTGGTTTGGACAACTCGGGTAACTCCTGCTACCTGAACGCTGTATTTCAGTGTCTGTGCTCTACTGTGCCCCTGGTAGAGCACCTCCTGAATCCGGACACCCATAAAGAGCTGGCACGGTACGACCACCCATCTCTCTCTCTCTGGCTTTCTGTCTAACTTAAATGTTTACAGCTGTTCATCCAGTAGTTCAACCTCTGTTCATGCAGGTCTAAGTGCCGGGTGGCTGAAGTGTTTGTCCGCCTGCTGCAGGAGATGTGGTTAGGAGGGAGCTCCAGCTGCGCCCCTGTGGAGGCCAGATCTGTGCTAACCTCCATCCTCCCCCAGTTCAACAACTACTCCCAGCAGGACGCACAGGAGCTGCTGCTCTTTCTGCTCAATGCGCTCCATGAAGACTTCAAAAAGGTCTGTGCAGGAAAAAATCTGACACATATCCTGTGCTAAATGGCATTATCTAAAGAAAGACCAAATCTGTGTGTGTGTGTGTTTACAAGGTTTCAAAGCAGCAGATTCGCTTGACGATGCGACAGCCGAGACCAGAGCAGAAGAGAAACCATGCCACAGCAGCTGGGGAGTCCACCATCGTCTCTCGTCTGTTTGAGGGCCAGCTGAGCTACATGACCCTCTGCATGCACTGTGACCACCAGGCTTACAGCACACAGACCTTCACTGTGCTGTCACTACCCATCCCAACAGGCATCATTAAGTGCTCCATTCAGGTACATCACGTTACAATTTTTATCATTAAAAACATCCTATAGACTGTATGATGGTCACTCTATCTGTGTCATATTTTTGTTTTGGGGGGGATCTAGAATGATCTTATTCTCTGTGCATGTGGTGCAGGACTGCATGTCCCTGTTCTTTGAGCAGACCGTCCTGACAGGGGGAGAGCAGATGTTGTGTTCAGTGTGTGGTCTGAGGAGAGAGACAGCCGTGCTTACATGTTTGGATAAACCTCCTGAGATCCTCATGTTGCACCTGAAAAGGTAGATCCATCTTTTTTTGATAAAGTAACACTTGACAGTAAGTGAACATGCATGGAATTAATCATGTAAAATTAGGGCCTGACTGCTATTGGATTTTTTGGGGGCCAATACCGATAACGATATTAGGGAGGGAAAAAAATCTGAGACCGATATATTGGCCAATAATTTTTTTTTTTTTATCTTTCTTCGATCTGTAGAGATAGATAGATATAGTTAAACAAAGTGGAAAGTAACATTGTCATGCTTCACTGGTTGACACTGGAGAGTGATGATGCTTGTTGTAATCCATACGGCACACTGCTAGTGAAGGAGAACTGCTAGTGTAATACAATTATACAAACAAATAAGCTATTTGACAGATGGCTAAATCTAGATATATCTGCAATAAAATCACCTGATATCAATATTCACTTGATATTCTAATATCAGCAGCAGACTTACTCGCTAAGTGTGGTATTATTTGTCCTCTGCAGGTTTGGTTGTAAGGGGAAGAACCAGGTGAAACTGAGGACTAATGTTTTATTCTCCATGAAGCTCGACCTCAACCCCTTTCTATCCAGCTCAGTGCAGAACACCTCGTTTTCTTCATACCGCCTTTATGCTGTCGTGGTGAGTACACACACACGCACACTTATTGGGAACCCCTTCTGTGAAGTCAATGTTGATTCCGTTAATGTGAAATATCTTTTAAAGGGGACATATTATTAAAAAATCGACTCACAAAATGTGAAATAGTCTGTGTTTGTTGTTTGCATTAGTCCTTCAGCACATGCAAAAATGCTCCGTTTCAAATTTGCTCAACTTGTGACATCACAGTGGGATTCTGGTTAAAAAAAAAGAAACCCTCCCCTCAACTGATATCTCCACCCATTGACTCCACACCCAGCCTAGAACAAAACTTTTGCGCAGGTCTGCCATTTTCATTCTCGCTACAGAGGAGTGTTGTCTACCGGGAAAACTGAGGGGGGGCTCATTGCATTTAAAGAGACACACACACCAAAACGGAGCGTTCTGAGAGAGCTGGTTTATACAGGGTCACAAACCTCCTCTGGTGCTTGATTCATGTTATATTTTGACCAAAGTACAGCACAGATGTTTCATTTAGACCACAGGGGACTGTTTGAAAAGGTGGAAAAGGGGGATAATATTAACACGACTGCAAAAGAGGCACCGGTCTGCAGAATGTGAAAATAAAAAGTAGAACATTGTTTGCATTAATGGTCCGCAGTGTGATGGATTTTTGGACTGTATTGTGTTAGTATTGGTTGTATCTTACCTCTTGCAGTGTTAATATTTGGGGGGTGGTTTTGATGTTGGCCAAATGACATGCTAAAACATTTGTTTGACTGTCAGCTAATGTGTCAGAATAAAAACATGTGGGATAGATCTTGTAAATGACACGAATATGCATTCATTTATTTGAATGAATTCACAGCTTCCTTCATTTTTTTTTTTTCTTTTCTAGAACCACTCAGGACATCTGAACATGGGTCACTACACGGCGGTGTGTCACAGCTCCCTGACTCAGACCTGGCACTGTTTTGACGACTCAGCAGTCAGAGAGGTTCAAGACGGCCACGTTCAAACTCCAAACGCCTACATGTTGCTCTACAGCCGCAAGCCCTTTCAAAAACCAAAGATCAGTGGACTCTGAGCTCTCCACACAGCAAGCCAAATCCAAGATGGGACCGAGTTTAATTTGTTTTTTGATATTCATCAATATCTTCTTTATCATGAATCTAATGCTTACTGTAAATACTCGAGTGCTCTGTACACTAGTTTCTAGATACCTGTAATAAAAAAAAAAAACTTAAGACACAACATTAACTTGTGTGCCATTTGTATGTAATCTTTATACCCCATATTGTCTTTTAATCTCAGAAATGATGAACTAGAATATGAAATAGAAGGCTTTCAGTCTGCCTGTCAATCTTTTTCTGAGGGGGTTTAATAAGCACTTGATTATTATTTCCCTAAATATTATGTCCTAATATACAGTAGATTTTTTTTATAATTATTGGTCAAATGTACATTTAATAGACACGTTTTTATGGTAACAAACTGTGAAACGATGTTTCCAGCTGGAACTCTGAATCCTGAAACAGTCATGAAGAAACAAACACACACACTAATTTGAAGCAGTTTTAATAAATAGTCATATGAGCTGTTTGAGGTTAATATAATCGTTATATCTGAAACAAATTATTTTTAGAGCATTGAGAAAGAAAATCGACATGTACAAGTAGAAAGAAATGGATTATGATCTCATGCTAGGCAATCAAACTGTAACCGGAAGAAGAGCATCAAATCCTTCAAGCTCACATTTCTGGTCCATACAGGGAAAATATCAGTATATGTTGTGCTTGCTCTGGTCAGTCAGTCAGCCGGTCAGTCGGTCAGGCAGTAAATGCTGACACACTTGTGTGAGTGAATAAGATCTATTCATCTTGTATTCAAATTCTACACAGATGTAATTAGTCATGTAAATCTGAAGTTCAGCCTCCTAGACACCCATACCTTCAAAACCAGCCTCAGTGGTACAAGCCATGAAGGATGCCAAGTTTTCCCAGTAATGTTTCCTCTAAATACTTTGTTGTTTGAGTATAATTATGTAAAGAGTTAAGTATATTAAACAGAGAACAAATTCGATGGCAGAGTTTTTAGAAGCAGGTTTTTCCGTCTTGTCAAGTGAGACAGACAGGATCACAGCATCGGTATCATTTTAAAGCATTGAGAGTCGAGGATGAATGTCTCATGATATTAAATGCCTGGTGGTCTACATAACAACATCACTTAATTGCATAATGTATGAGTGAACAAATGTGGCTAATATGAACAAGAAACAATCTCAATCCCTCTTCTCTTGAGAAAGAACGCACAGAATCAACAATCACAGTCTCTACCATTGTTAAGATCATGTTAAACATCATGTTAAACATCAGAAGGTTAAAGGGTTAAACCCAGAAATCATGTGCAGTCTTTTGGAGTATGAGAATGCTATGGTGGCTGCTACTTTTAAGAAAAGCAAAAATCGTTTTTGGTCACATAATCGATAAAACACCTTGCCCTCGAGTATTTACATGTCTAAATGTGCAACATCAGCATTAGTAAGTATGTACATGCCGTCTTAACCTCACAGTACAAGGAAGCTGAAAATCAGTTCTGCGACCGCGGAGTGCAACAGAAATGACAGCTAAGAGCCTTTCAACTGGCTGTCTGCCCTCCCACACAACAATCACGGTAAAGAAGTAAAAGGAGCATCTGATTAGTCCCTAGATTATCAGTAATATGAACAGACAGCATGTCTTAACAGGTAAAGAGTCCTCTAGTAGCTGAAGCATTGCAACTGTCTCCTGTCTGCGACACACGGGATCTCACGGCCACTCGCTCGACTCTATCCACGCGTGCACGTTCACCACTGGTTAAACCGCATCTACATGGCCCAGGTCCTCAGAGCTGTGGTTTTAAAGGAAAAAACAACCTGTAGGCGCGAAACCTCGCTGCTCCTGGCGTCGTGTTGTCTCTTAGTGTTCGACAGCTTCATCACAGGCTCGAGTAGAACAGGATGTAGGCAGCGGAGGACTTGACGGAGGAGGTGGAGATCTCAGACACTTCGTGGTCATCAAACTTGTACCAGCGCTGTTTGGGGGTGTTCTTACAGTAGGCTGTGTAATGGCCGCCGTCTAAACCGCCATAGTGGTTCTGGAAGGGGAAGAAAAGAAGGTTTCTTATTCACCTGTTAGCTTTGATTGATACTTATATAACAGTTATCGCCTAAGATGTCCTTTAAAATTCCTTTTTTGTTTTGTTGCAGATTATATTTCTTGCGCATTTCTCAAATATTTGAAAAACAAAAGACTGACAGCTTCATGAAGGAAGAACAAAAGCAATACAGAGCAACAGTAATAACACTATATGTATCTTTCATGTATTGTTGAATTTATTTTATTCTTGTATTGTTTTGACACCTCGAGCAACAACAGGGTGATTATCTAAAAAGAAATCTCTCCACAACAAATAATCCACTTCTACTTACAGAAACTCCATAAAGGCCATATCTCTTCAGGGTCTGTTTGGGTCCAATGACGTACTGGGTCAGGTCCAGACAGTCGAGAGGGAAATCTACAGTCGTCTGCAGTTTCTGCTTCCATCTACCCTCGTATGAGAATCTGCAGAAATAATATAACAGAAATGGTGTCAATGGAACACTAAAAAATGCTGACTATCAGTACAGGTTTTACATTTCTCATTCTGCTAAGCCTTTGATTATAGATATAAAAATAAGTAAATGCATTAAAAAAAACTCTAAGCCTGCATCGTTTTAAATGCAAATGTCACAACAGACCGTTTTAAGTGCACCAGGAGAATAGGTGGGACTTTCCAGATCTCCAGTTTCTTGGTGGAATCTCTGTGGGTTTTGCAATGTCTGCAGAACACCTTGTTGTTGTCGGTCAGTTTCTCCTCCTTAGAAAACAGTCTCAGACAATCCTGAGAAGAAGCAGCAAACAATGTAGCTGTTTTATAAAGCAAAATGACCCTGAGATCCTTTATATGTTTGGTTTTTTTTTTTGACAATTTCTAATATTTTTACACAATCATATGTTATGAGAAAGTTTTTTTTTTAATCCGATCGTTAATCTATTTGTCGTGAGTACTGTAAGGAAAGCTGCAGACAAGAAGGATGTTCTGTTTCATCCTTCCTGACCTGACTGGTGCTTTAAGCACTGAATGATGCTATATCGCGCACTCGCAGGTCGAGTAGCTATACCGACAAAGTCACATGTGACCCCGACAGGTCTGTATCTTCCGGTGTCATCAGAGGATCTGTTCCTTCAGAATCTTCTCGCGAGACACGATGATTCCGAGTGACCAGAAGTTCTGGCGGTCATCCAGGATTCACAGAACCGTAGTTACATACGTAACCTTCGTTTTAAACTGGAGTGGCTTTGCGTCAAGTGACATAGCTTCAAATGTAGAATCCCCACAAGCCTAAAGCTAATCTGTGAAAGCAGAGACAAACTCCTTACAGACGCTCTGATGTTCTTGTTGAAAGCCTTACTCACCTGCAGGGAGCACTTGCTGGTGGAAGCCAGCGGCAGCGACAGGTACATAAAGGTCTCAAACGTCCGTGACTTGCGATGGCAGGTCAGACACTGCACGGTCGACTTGAACTGACCCTGGAACAGTGCTACAATGATGGACTCGTTCAGCAGCTTGTGTTTGTTCCAGGCCACGTCTGCTGCTGACTGATCGTCCAGATGGTCGTTTTCCTCCTCCTTGTATCGTTTCCTGTTGTCGGCCTGACATTACATATGGAAAAACAACATGACTGACTACACGAGAACAACTGGAGGTTTAGGTGATAGAAAAACCTGCCTTCAAGGTTCAGCTAACGCTCAATGGATAACAGAGAATATAATGGTTCAAATTATGATGTCAGGGTTACCACTAAAAATGACTCTCAACTCTTTCAGCTTCAACATGCAGTACAGCCAATTCACTTTCATTATGAGAGGCAGGAAGGTATGCAAGGCAAGGTTTACGCTTGCTAATTAATATCTCATCAATTAGACTGACTGATTTATCAATTAGCCTGGAGTGACAGAGGGGGCTGGGACTGGGCCAACCCAATGGCGACAGGTCTGAACATCACACAAAAGGGAAATGATGAGATGGAAAATGTGTCATGAGAAATGCATGTCATCCTTTAAAATTGAGAGTGAACAGCTTAAAAATGGTCTGAGTGCACTACTTCTCGTCAACCCCAGAGGGGAGACAGTGTCAAAGAATCTCAAGAGCTTCTCTAACAGCGTTCAGTAAGAAAAATGTCTGTTCAAAAAGGATCTGATTTTTGATATTTCAGCAAGTTTAAAATACAAAAACCTTAAAGATCTAGCTGTGAAATGATCTCTTCCTTGATTATTATTATTTATTTTTTTAAATCTAACTAGTCCTTTCCTCCATTCAAGTGCACATGAGTCTAGAATAATCAGTCTAGTATAATCAGTTTGATACAGGCAATGAGGCATGTCTTGGGTCTACATGCACAGAGGTTCTGACAGAGTATCAGACCAGACAGATGCAGACACTCCACACTCACACCGCTGCAGGAGGACCAAGGACACACAGCTATTTACTTACTCTCTAATTTGCCATCAAAATGAAACCCGGTGAAAAAAAAAAAAAAACAGAAAGAAGGAAAATGACAAAAAAAACAAGTTTCTCATTGTAAACAGGCAAATGTGCAACAACATACAGGGGTGTAGTAGACGCCTTAGCAGCCATGTTGAAAGGAATAACTTGAATTATTTATACACTCAATACTTCATTCAGGATGAGGATATTTAAATGTCAATGTTTCTTTTGTTGATACCAAATCCTTTTATTTTAGTCACACTGATTCTGTCATGAACAGGCGTGATAAGGTGTGCTCTTACCTTGTTCAGGTCTTCATGAAGTCCATCCATGAGGAACAGCAGCAGCTCCTGGGAGTCCTGCTGGTCATAGCCAGCAAACTGCTCATTGATCTTTCCTATAGTGATCTTGAAGTCCCGCGGGCTGATGCACTTGTACAAACCAGCCCACAGAGCCTTCATGATCACACCAAACTCCTCTGCCACCTCCCCTTTATGGCCGAGTATGTTGTACCTGTCAGAGAAAGAGAACAGAGGCAGGTAGGACACACATTTCCCCCATCACAGACTCTTCATGGTCGCTCAATCTGTTTATTTTTTAGCGCTGACCTGTTGATGTCATCCATGTAGAGATTGTTGTTGAAGTACTCAGACATGGCAGGCGAGTTGCACAGACACTGCAAGATGGAGTTCATGTAGCAGGTGTTTCCCATGTTACGGAGGCCAGTCAGTGACTGACCCATACCTCCGAAAGTAGGATTCAGGTTCCGAATTTTGGCAGCAGAAGGCCTCGCGATCTCCACTTTAGAGTAGACTTTAGCAGGAGCAGGTCTGGGAGGCAATGGGACAAAATTAGAATGAGACTAGTTTCCTCAAAGACAAGACTTTGTTTAACATATCAGATATATTACTGTGGAATTAGGGATACTTTAGACCAAGATTTCCCAATGAGAACATTTTATCTTTGGGGATGTATGGATAGGTGGTCTATGTCAAATTGTGCCATCAAGGCTTCTTTCAGGGCAACCGGAGGTGTAGCCTGTGACTCCGCATGTCACCAGCAGGAGGCTAGCCTGATAAGCCAGCTGTTAGCTTGGCGGTTAAGAGAGTTGTTGCAATGGAAATGTCTCCTCTCCACGTTTCAGAACACTACAGATCACACACAGCAAATAGTTTCAACCCATATTTTCTGGAAATTTTGTTCTGAATTGGTTGATAAGACCCTAAATGGAGGACACCGTTCACTTTACGAAGGTGCTTGAAAATCCTGAGACTGACTTTGGGAGTTTTGATAGAAGAGACACAGGTGTGATAAATCTTGAAGTGTAACATAAAACCTTGGTGGTCCTTACTTGGTCTCTCTGTTGATGGTGGGTATGACAGGAGCAGCCGTCTGGGCGGCTGCCTTCTTCTGGACCTCCTCTCTCAGGTCCTGGCTGATGTCAGGAGAGGAGTAAGAGCGTTTCAGTTTAGACTGCTCCCGCTCTTGTTCATGGTTGGAGTCAGGCTCAGCTGGTTGCGGTGGTTTTTGTTTGACTGTCGGTGGTGTGGAGGGTGGGGTCTGGGGAACAGTAACCTCAGGGGGGTACAGATGGACTCTGTTGGTTGGAGAATGGTAGTACCGGTACGTCCCTGTCACTATGTCAAGGAACTAGACAAAGACAGAAGTGTGGAGGTCAAGAGGTGAAATAGAACATTAGGCAGGAAGTGATAAACAGGTTTAAAGACATAATTATGAGTTTCTTCTTTTTTTTAAATTCTAATTATCTTCACTCATTCCAAATGATGAAGCATGTTTTATACAGTTACACTGACCTTCATCCAACCATCTGGAAGGCCTGGTACACTCCTACCCATCTCCTCGCTCCGTGCTCGGGTCAGAGGTTCCCTCTGAGAAATGAACACACACACACAGAAAGAATAAAATGGAAATTCAAAAGAAAGGACTTGTTGTGAAACCCAATATCACAAGTTTGTCAGCCACTGTTCAACCATAAAGCTGAAAGACTCAAACTACCCATCTTTATTTTTTTAGTAGGCAGAAAGTCTGATGACTCTGAAACTTTCTACTTCTTTAAAGGAATAATATGCAACATTTTAAACATTAATATATCAAATATAAACTAACTAAATACATATATTGTTAAGTAATGACTTTCTAAAGGAAGAGTAAATTCAAACTCCCTCTAGGTTTGTTGTTCTGAGCTCTGTGTTCACACTGACGGCACTTCCTGCAGCTTGTTTATGTGTCATTCAGATTCTCAAACCTGTTTCATACATGTGTTTTTCAAGTGAATCCCTCTCTGTTCAACTGTAGCAGGAGAACTAACCAACTTTTGGAACCAAAGGAAATACTTTGTTTGGTCTAAAAAACTTCCAAGAAATAAGAACCAAATCAATTTTGGGCTGCCCTCGGTCGATACACTCGTTTTAATTTGGTTGTCTGCCTCGTTTGTTTTAAATGTAAGACATCACCAAAGGAATTCTCTAGTTTACTTTTTGTGACAGACCAAAAAACTCAGTTCTGTAGTGCCTTAACACACAGACACTCACCTTGATTTCACTAACAATATGGTTGGGAGCAGGAGAGTCCAGAGACATGCTCTTTGAGGGTGTTTCAGAGTTCTGCTCCTTCCCTTTCCTCTCTTTCTCATCCCACACTCTGCTCTGTTTGTCCTCCTCTTCTTCTGCCTTCTGTCTTTCCAGTCTCTTTTTGTCCTGAGGTCCCTTCTCCTCCTCTTCTTTCTTCCTCTTCTCACGTTCCTCCTTTTCTATCCTTTCTTTCACCTCCTTCTCCCGCCTCTCTTCCTCTGATCGGCGCTCCTGGTTGCGTTTCTCCTGCTCTAGTTTCGCTTTCTCTATTCCTGCCACTGCCTCAAAGTGAATCTGGCTTTGTTCTTCTTTGGACAGAGAAGAGCTGGAGCTGAAGGGGGGTTTGACAGAGCGGTCAGGGATGACTGGGCCGTTCTGGGTGAGATCCTTCGCAGACCCATTCTGGCTGGGTTTTGGCTCGTCAGACACTCTGACAGAGGGTTTCTTGGTTCGGTCGAACTGGAAAGAAAGAACATAAAGATTAAAAAAACACAATCTTTTTTGTATTCTCAAAACATTGTTAGATATCAAAAGGGGTACAATACCTGTGGGAAGGCCTTGGTTGTTGCAGGTGATTGGCTGGATGTGCCTGTCACAGGACCCTTACTGAGGTCTAACCCAGAGTTTGTTTGGCCTGTTACCTGGGAATCAACAGTGTCGGGCAACCTGTCAGCAACCATGGAAGTTTTAGATGTGGGGGGTTCTGCTGGGGCAATCCCATTCACCAGCACAGGAGCAGAGGGTTCCTGAGGCTCCGGTTGAGGCTCAGGGTCTGGTGGAGGTGGAGTCGGAGGCTTTGGTTCCTCCAAGGATGGGTAGCTAAAGTTTACTGATCAGAACATGAGAGAAATCAATCAATTCATCCAGGGGGGAAAACTCACTGCAGACATCAGAGACATACACACCATACATTCACAGATGCATATTTACACACATAAAAACCTTCTCAACTCTCTTTTCTCCATCTCAAGACCATCAAATATAACATGTTAGCTTTCTCTCTTTTCCTTGTCTATTTCTGTCACTCTCTTTTGTCTTTGCTCATTTGTCTGCTCAATTCCTTGCTAGAAAAGGTCTGATTATTTGAAACTGTATCAGGGTTGAAAATTACCTTTTTCCTCTACCAGCCACTCTCAGGAAAATGTAGTAACGTATAATATTATAATCAAGGCTCATAGTATTTTAGTAATGGAAACGTTTCAGCTATCAAAGAAAACACTAACATGCTCTTTCTAACCAAGAAACCTAAAAAAAAATTTAAAAAAAAACTGTTTTTGTTTTGTTATTTTAGTTTATTATTTGAGGCTGGTTAGAGTCTCCTCTATGTCCTTAAAGGCTGATTTAACTACAACTAAACCTCGACTGAGAGGCAGAATAACCTATTTATTTTTTTAGAAGTATATGAGCTCATATGAGGGGGGTCGTCACAGTAAGGTTTGACTGTCATTTATTGCTGGTAAAAAATGCATGCTGAGATGGAGTACCTTGATCTTTTAAATAAGTATTTAACATGCTCTGGAGACCAGTTTGTGTACATTTGCATAAAAACTATTTTTTTTCCAGAAATGCTTAGAGCGGGACAAGGGTGCAAGTCAGAATCAAAATCAGAAAAACAAAGCATAAAGTAATCTAAAATCTAACATAAGTAAAGCCACATTCATTGAATAGATTACGAGTGACTGCACTGACACAGAGCGGTCACATGCTAGCAGTGCTTGTGATACTCACACTGAGGGAGTGTGTTGATGATGTTCTGTCTAGGGGGTTGTACTTTGGCATTGGTTGTGTACATGGGGTAAAACAACAGCCAGTTCTCGTAGCCTCCCTCCAGCACCAGCGGCTCACTACGCAGGATAGTGATGCTGTCCCACTGTGGAGAGGGTCGACATGTCAATCGTTCCTCACGGTAAGAGACACACATGTTCACAAAGGCAAACCTGAACACAGTGTTACCTTGAAGAGGGCATCTTTGAGGCTCTGTAAGGTGGTGCCAAGTTTAAGGTCTGTCACAGAGCTGAACCAATCCAACAGGACTATATAATCCACTAATCCCCGCCGTCTCCAATGCTCTTTGGACACCTCTGGCAGCTTTGCCTCAATCTGATTCACAGTGATTCTGAAAAGCCAAGACAACAGGTCAGTTTTAGGAGTAGAAACTTTTTTCTTTCATTATAAAAAACAGATACAAACTACACATTACACGTCAGGTCAACCTATCAGGCACAAAGCCTTCCATCCCTTCTGAGCCCTTTCTCACCCTGGGCTAATAGCCTCCTCAGGCACAGAGATGCAGGTCTGAGCTGGGACCTGAATGTGAGAATCCTCAAAGTCCTTGTGGCTGCGGGCATCCATGACAATTGTTGTAATCGTCTGGTCCTTCATCATGTGGAAAAGTTTCTCAGCTGTGATCCCACCAGGTAGCCCTGCAGCTATCAGAAACAAAAAAAATAATCAAACAAGAGGGAAAAGAAGAGGTAAAAACCAAAAAGAAAAAGTTTTCATTCAGGAATCAACGTAATGGGTTATTGACCTAAAACAAAGGTAGCACATTGCAAACAATGACTTTAACTAATGTATCAGAATGAACTACAGAGCTTGATTGGACTTCTTTTTATTCTACTTACCTTTGGACTTGGAATTTTTCTGTTCATTCTGTTCTCCTTTCACCTGGAAAAGAAACACAAAAACATGCTGAATTATTAAACTTGTTAACATGTTGATTTGAGTTACTTAATCAGGCTTGAAAATACTTGTATACAAATGCTATTCATGTATTTCCCCCACTCCCTCCTCCCAACATCTCCTGACTCTCTTCAGCTGTTCACATTTAACTAAAATAAACTATAACTAAAATAAACTATCCAAATTCAGTAGGAAAAAAACAATCAAAGTTTAATGTTCAAATGTATGATAATAAATATGGAAAAAAAACACAAAAGATGTGTGTCTGATAGAAGACACTGTTGTCATTTCAATAAGGTGTCTTCTTAATGAAACATCAAATATTAGAAGCCTTTACAGCATCAACTATTGGCCATTTAGAAACCCTATAATATTTTGATTAAATATTTTATTTAATATTCACCTACTGACTGATCTATGAAAGCCAAACCCCCCTTACTCAAAAGTCTGTGTATCATTAGATATCTCTACCTTTTTAATGTCTTTCTTTATGGCAGCTGATGATTTTGGAGAGCCTTGACCCCCGTCTTTCTCTGTCATTTCCTCCCTCCTTTTCTTCTCCTCTTGTTTCTCCTTCTCCTCAAGCTTTTTACGAACCTCGACTTCCTCATACCTGTTTAGAATGTGAAGATTAGAAGAGTCAAATACAATACAATGCGATATCATTCACCTGTTCTGAAGCATTTTCTTGTCGCTTTTGTATTATACATAAAATGTGAACACAACCAAAGCTTCATACCTGAGTTTAAGGCTTTCAGAGAGCTTCTCTGCTTCTTCAATGGCTTTCTTAAAACTGTTCGGCCCCAGCATGGTAATGTAATACTCCTAAGGACAATGGAATCGAAAAGAGTCACAAACAAACAATAACAAAATGACAAAGTCAACAGATACAATTATATATTGACTATACCGGTTGCTGCTTGAAGTCTGGCCTTTTCTTGATGATGTCATATACTGTTAAATACTTCATGTAGAGCACATACGATCTCTCCTCGTCCCGTTCGAGGCGAAACTCCTCTGCCGCCTTAAAGATTTTGCAGGCACTCTGAACATAGCTGGAAGACATGAAATAAGAAAACAGAACAGAGTCAAACACAAGGTAGATCAGGTTAAAACTGTCTTTTCAAGGTAATTTGGCGGATTCACCAATTAGTAAGTCACTGGTTCAGTAAAATCCCAACTGGGCTTTTAATGCCTAGGAAAGTTGATATCAGCAGTGGTACAATGTACCAGGTTGACGAATACAAGGAAGACCAACACATATGGAAAGACATTTTGGACATTATAAAGACTGTGCCGATATTCCCCACACTCCAAAGACAGACAGTGCAAGCTACGTAACCAGAAAATAATACCTCCTTAAGTACACCCTCTCTTCGTCCTCTCTATAGCTATATGATATATACTACCTCTGTGACCTCGTTTGTGTTTTGTTGTTGTTCTCTGTCTGTTTTTATTTATTTATATATTTTTATTTTATTTTTAATTTTTTTGTCAGATGTTGCAAATGTCTTAACAAAAAGAAAAAAATGTTAATGCATACTGTAAGCTGTTTTTAAAGTTGAACTTAAATTAAAAAAAACTTTAAATGGAAATAAAAAAAAATAAAAAAAGCAGTGGTACAATGTAAATATTAACATAAACTTAAGCAGTGTACAGACAGATTATTCCACTACTTTAATTGTTATTTCCATTTGTATGCAACTTTTCAATTCCACCAAACTATTTAAAAAAACCTTCCTGTGATTAAAAAAAAAAAAAACAATCAAATCAGGATTAAGACAGTTCTCTCTTCTTTAACTTTAAAAGTGCATGCAAAGTTATTTAAATCACATTGGAGCTGGTTACATCTCCAGACACCAGTAAACATGAAGCTTACTTTCTGGTGCTGGTCTTGTCTGCCTTAATTTCAGCCTTTTTATTGAGTTCTCCCAGAGACGAGGACAGGTACAGGTCCTTGACCCCGGTGGACACAGCAGGCATCTTGTTCAGTCAGTGGTGTCTGGACATCTCTGGAAAACAATGTCGTACAACAAAACATAAACAAACACACCCCGATACTTAAAACATGTTTGTTCATGTTTGTCCACAAACTGTTTAGTTATTAATCAGTAACATCGCAGCGTGGTTACACATTTAAACTCCTCTGTAGCGTTTTAAAGATGGCGACAAAAGGCTAAGTTTACGTTCAACATGTCATTTAAATGGTAACTTACACCCAGTTGGCTGAATGTTTCGTACTGCTGGTTGTTTCTCTTTGTTTATAACGCGATAGCCTCCATTAGTTTAGCTTCTTGCTTTGTCAACAACAACAACAACAACATGTTTTCATGCTAAACGCTTAGCCCCCGGCCGTCTGTCTTCACTGGATATCTAATGGCCAGTCAACAGCATTATTCAATTAACATCATTCAACGTAGAGCAACAATTCCCCACTGGTTTGATTTAAATACAGTTTCGGTGATTTAACATCAACGCAACGTTACCTCCCCAGTTAGCCAGCTAAGCTAGCTCCGTTAGCTAGCTGCGCAGTGAGCTCACGCAGGTCAGGTGAGTGACAGAAACACAGGTTTGTAAACCAGGTGCAGAATTAAAGAGACATCACACAGCAGGAATGTGGACATACATATAGTTGACAAGTGTTAGGTAAAATAAACATAATGTTGAAAATTACCTCAATCTGATCGGTAGCTTTCACTTTGCACTTTTTTTTTTTTTTGACAGCTGATTCCTTGTTCCGCCTTCTTCTTCTTCTTCTTCTTCTTTTGTTTTGTTTTGTTGTCAGCTGGTATACTTTAATGTTGCATTACTGCCATCTTCTGGAGGTCGTTTTTTTCTGATCACTTTCTTTGTAGGCTTTAGCTCCTTCTTCTTTTTCTACTTCTTCTTTGGATTTTATTGGCAGCTGGCATCCAAAAAGTTGCATTTCTGCCATCTGCTGGATTAAATTATTACTCACATTCCTAAATCCTCCTCAACAAACCTTTTTCTCAAGAGATATTTAAACAAGCATCTTCGTCCTTTCCCCACACTCCAAAATACTTTTGAAATCTCCTCTCACGACTCCCTCTCTCTCCATTTCTGACATCATGTTCTGTCTATGTGCTGCATACTTTCTACATTTAATACCTACATGTTCATTCTGCTAGATTGCATATCTCACAAAGACCGGATGAATGTTTTCCAATGATATGTAGAGTGCTGTTTAAATTACTGTGACCAATTCTTAACCTGGACATCACGACCTCCTCTATTCTGTTGCTCCCTCTGTATTTATCTATTTCCCTCTGAATTGAGTATAAACGTCTTCCCTTTGTCTGATTGTTCCAATATTGTTGCCATTCCTGTTTAATTTTACTCCATGTGACTTGTTTCCCTTCTGACTTAGATAATTTGATGTTAATATCAATCCTCTCTTTCTTTACAGCTTCCTTTGCCAACCTGTCCACCTTTTCATTTCCTGCTATACCTGAATGTGCTGGAACCCCACATGAATATCCCATCTGTCCCCTGTTTAACCACCTGGGAATGTGTAAATCTTGACAACTGTGAGATGATCCTGATTGAATACTGTATAAAGTGCTGACTGAATCACTGCATATCAGCACTTTCCTTCCTTTAATTTGCTCAACACATTCTAATGCAACTAAAATGGCATACCTTTAGCTCCTTTCCTCAAATTAAACACCTATAAAACCCATTTATTTATAATGTCTCACATTTGTATAGCTCCTTTGTATTTCCTGCATGCATAAAGACAAGTTGTGTGATGATGTTTCAGATTCTTTGTATTGTTCTTAAACCAGTCAGGTGCATTCCTTCTTTGTGTATTGTTCACACCTTGTAATGTAAATGTAATAACCTTGCACTGTAGTCCTGCTAAACCTGCTAAACTAAACAACAACAGGCTACAATGAGGACGAGGGAAAAGGGTCAATTTGAATCTGTAACTTTCAGCCACTTACAAACATACTTTACATTAACACACACATATCAACCACAAGTTGTGTGAATTAGGTCAGTCATTTGTATAATGGTCATTTGTACAATTTCACACAGTGGCAAAACTTTGTTAAACTGAATACAAGCAAACATAATGATTGCTTTAAAAAAAGGAAATATATATAAATAATGAACATGTTTATTAATGATCAAAAAAGTGTACCTATGTGGCACTGAAATTCCATAACGTGTCGGCCTCTGCAACACATTGTTATTTTAGGGGAAGTAAAAATGGCTATAAATCTAAATTCATTTACAATCTGTAATTGGCGATTTCATTTTACCTTTATTTATTCTCGAGAAATCATTGAGGGCAAGCCCTCATTTACAATGACGTCGAGAGTACAATTAAAACGAATAAGAGACAAAAAAGACATAAAACAACGAAGACATAATACATAGATTATAAGACCAGAAGAATAAGCAGTAAGCAGGTAACTACAGTTAATAACATTTACACTCATGAGTACAGTGAACTGTGATCAGGTTTTTAAATTGACCCATGGTAACCATTGTATTGAGTTTTAATGTGTTTTGTATTGTGTTCCAGGTGTGTGCAGCACAATAGGTGAAGGATATTTTCCCAAAGTTCGTTTTTACATGTGGAACCGTTAACATTAGCCAGTCACTTGATGGAGTCTGATACTGATTATCAGCCCAGATTAATAAAGACGTGATGTATGCTGGTAGATTACCCGCAAGTGATTTATAAATAAATAGCAGCCAATGGTGTTCACGTCTAACTGTTAGTGAAGGCCAACCAACTTTATGGTAGAGGATTGATTGATGGATTGGATTCTAAAACTCATTGACCAAAATGTTGTGATTTTGGGTTTGAACCTCCTGATGAGGAAGCAACCTTCATTTATTCATTTTCAGTAAGTGAGTGAGTGAATGAGAAAATACAATTCTGCTGGGAAAATAAAGACAGGCTGCATGTTGTCTTTTTCAGGATTGCCTTGTTAAAACTTACAAACACATCCACACTGAGCCAGTACAACCTGTCTGACTTGTTGGCTTCTTAGTGGCTCCATTACCACTTCTTTATTTAGGTTAACGGCCTTTCTCAAGGGCTCCTCATCGGCAGCACTGTGGAAATTGCAAGTTCAGCTCTGCTACTGTTCCCAGGGGAGACCAAAATGAAAATGTCATAAAATAAAAATAAAGTATATATATTTCTGAATCATAAGTTCCTTCCTGTTCCATCTTTCTTCTTTTATTCACAAACGGATTCATTTGAGTCAGTCTGCTCTCAAATACGTGTCCAAATTATGTCTGACTTTGGCTTTGTTTGATCAGACCAATGTTTTCTTTCCGACAGGCTGATGTCAGGTTGTTAAATCGTCTTATTTCAATAAAAGTAACAGAACATGACCCATCAGGAAGCAATTTGACTTTGATGTCACCAGCTTCAATTGAACAATTATGCTTAAACCTGCTTTCATCAGACTCAGACCACCCAACGTAAAGTCGCACCAGGAGTACAATAGTCACAGTGTGCTCTGCTCATTTCTGTGTCTAATGCTACACACACTTGTCATTAATCTAGTCACTGCCTGCTACAATGGCTTCCTGCTTACAGCGGGATCAAACGTCTGTGCAGCAGCTATTTCTGAGATTCAAAGAACTTGTGGATTTAAGATGTAAATCAAAGGAAGATTGTGGCTGGATTTTACAGACCACATCCCATATCCTTACAAGAGTAGAAAATAGGGGAAAACATTATTCAAGAGCGTTTCTGATAAATCATCTGCATGCAGTGTTAATACATAATTCACATACAGACTCTATATGTCCAAATTAACTGTCTTAAAATACTATTAACGTTTTAAAAAAAAACTTTTTAATCATAATGAATACAGGTTTCAAATTGCTTAAATAATCATCCTCTGGTTCTTTGTATGTTTTAATGAATGAATCCACTGCCTTCTATCAAAGTCTTTCCAGTATGACATTAGTGTGTACTTTAGGCGTTTTTTGGATTGTGGTCACATTTGGGTCCAACCATTAGTTTCCCCAGAGAAGCCCATGAGAGCGAGCACATGTCGAGCATAATGCACTGTAAACAGCACAGTGTGTGTGTGTGCAGGCCAGGTGCTTCTTCAGCTTCAGTCAGAGTTTAAAAGCAGAGATAACCTGTGAATTCAATGGGGTTACCTTCATCAGCTAAGTACTTATAACTGTTTGTTCATGCATTGTTCTTTTCTTCTTTTTGTACAATGTCCCCTGAACTGAAATTTGTTTCTGAGTAATCATAAACAATATACTGCTGTGCTCTAACAGTCCTCCTTTATAACTCTCAGTCAGATGAAGTAAAAAGCTGTATCAATAATGGAACAATCAGCTACATATTCTTGTTTTTTCTTTGGGAAAATGTTTCCCCATTAACAGATTCATTTATCAGTTTCCCTGCGACCATCTTAGCATATAGTTTAGCACAATGATTCGAAACAGAGAGACAAGGCCACTAAGTCTAGTTCTGACTATAGGTGACAAAATCAAGTAACGAGCACCTCACTTATAAGCAGAAAATAATTAGTTTTAATTGTAAATAAAAAAAAAAAAAGAAGAAAAAACAGGAAGTTACTGCTCTGGGCAAAACTTCAGCACACAGCAATCTTTAACACAGAGAAATTAATTGCTTACACTTAGTTTTATGCATGGATTAACATTTAACAAGTCACACACTAAGCTTTAGAGTTGTGATAGGCGAGTTTTGTTGCCTTTGTACAGCAGCAGACGCGTTCTCCCCTTTTCCTCGTCTAAATAAACTGCTGCTATACTCCAGTCAAATCCTCTAATCTATCTCTGAATGTAAAAAACAACTTTGCCAAAATTCTTCTTAACAAGGTCAAGTTTTTCTTAAAATAGCCTATATAAATCAAATTGTATGAACTACCTGTATTCTGTATTTGCACTGAAACAATGGGGGCCTCTTATGTTGCTGACTGTTCCATTATTGATATAGTTAACAGCTTTATAAGTTATAAAGGAGGACTGTTAGACGAGGAAAAGGGGAGAACGCGTCTGCTGCTGTACAAAGCAAACAAAACAGTCTAACAGTCCTCCTTTATAACTCTAAGTACTGTTAGACGAGGAAAAGGGGAGAACGCGTCTGCTGCTGTGCAAAGCAAACAAAACAGCCTGCACACACACACTGTGCTGTTTACAGTGCATTATGCTCGACATGTGCTCGCTCTCATCGGCTTCTCTGGGGAAACTAATGGTTGGACCCAAATGTGACCACAATCCAAAAACGCCTAAAGTACACACCAATGTCATACTGGAAAGACTTTGATAGAAGGCAGTGGATTCATTCATTAAAACATACAAAGAACCAGAGGATGATTATTTAAGCAATTTGAAACCTGTATTCATTATGATCACACATTCATTATCATTTTCTACTTTCATCATTTTCGCGCAGGCTGGTCTCGAACTCGTTAATTTACGAGATTATTCTCGAAATCTAACGTGATGCAAAATGTAGAAAAATAGGAAGTCATAGTATAAGCATTTGCTTTTATATTCAACATCAAAAATGACGCTAACATTTTAATCCATAGAGTTAATCTGTTCAAGGTGCAGAAGGGTTGATGGCTTCATGCACAGTATATTATATGTTTATATTTCTTACCATAACATACAGTATTATTATTGTTCTACAATTGTACCATATTGCTAAGATGTCAAAAGATAAAGTGTTACCAGCTGGGTTGATATTTAGAGTCAACAGTTAATGCAACCAAAATTTGTAATGATGGAAAAAAACATGCAAAGGTAATTTGTTGGTTCAAATGCGTCACCAGATCAGGGCGTGCTTTTCACAGAAAGGTCTATATAGTTCTGTGATCTCTGCAACTGAACACACAGAGCTTCACTGCAGCCATAGTAACACACAACTAATACACTCAAAAAGGTCTCGTCTAAAAACAATGCAGGCTGAGGAATACAACCGCAGAGGTAATACAGGTTCACTTTTACCATGTTGTCTCATTGTGTTGTTATATTTCACTGCAAATAATGAGACGTAATCAACGGACATGATGTAGATTTTAAAGACCTGAGCTGTTTCTGTGTCTGCTTCTGGTCAGGTAAGGAGCTGGTGGACTACATCACACAGTACCTGAGCTCCATCAGGGAGAGGAAGGTGATTCCAGATGTGAAGCCAGGATACATGAAGGACCTTCTTCCTGACGCCGCCCCCACAGAGCCGGAGGACTGGGAGAGCATCTTCAACGACATCGAGAGAGTCATAATGCCAGGGGTGAGTCCCTGCTGTCATCCATTATCCTGTCTGTCATTTGAAACTGTGGCAAAGAAAAGTATTTTCTCCTCTTTTTTTCTTCAGATGGTTCACTGGCAGAGCCCTCACATGCATGCCTACTTCCCAGGTCTGACCTCATGGCCCTCCATGCTCGGGGACATGCTGGCTGATGCCATCAACTGTATTGGATTCACCTGGGTAAGGGGAAAAGCCGCACTTTTTCCTCACTACACAGGGGTGTGTCCAGGATTATTTGACTGGGGTGGCTCAGCTGGGGCTCTGACTGATTCAGGGTTTGCATGGAGCGGTGGGCACGCACATGTCTGAATAGCATTTATTTACCATTTCTGTCTCCACTTATCAGATCTACTTTAACCACTGAAATTAGGGTCCGGATGAAGGAAAATCAATCCTCATGTGACTGGGCAGACAGTCAATCATAGCTTGTAGGCCAGCCCCTGAAAACTCTCCTGCCACTACCACAGTCATATCATCTGAGTAATAGGGATATGGTAAGGTGATACAGCATATTGCTACATAATGCCTGGCAATATTGCAACTTGATTTTTTGTGATGTCATTTGGGAGGTTTGTATTGCTAACACAAATAAGACTTTTGAGCACTTAAAAGATCGAAAAAGTCGCGCTTTTAGAGTCTACGAGAGGGTGTAGAGTCTCTAGTGGATCAGTAGAGGTCAGAAGATTACAACAAATAAACAATAAAACAATAAAAGAAAAAAAAAAAGAAGAAGATTACAACAAAGATTTTGGCCTCGTTATAAAATTTCCAGATGCTAAAGGACTGCATCACCTTGCATTCACATTTTTGTACACACAGTACAATGTCAATAACACCTCACAAGTGTATGAATTTAACTTTGAGTGAAAATTGTCGTATTAGATAAAACAAGCAGTGACTACATTTTATTTCGGATCATAATTTGCAGTTGAAAAAGGTAAATGAATCACATACACGTCTTTCACAATACTGAACAAAAACAATGTCTTGACTAAAGTATGGTTATAATACTGTGTCATCCTGCTTCTTGTCGTTTCTTCTCCCAAACAGAATACATTTTATTGCTTTATTTAACAGGCATCCAGCCCAGCTTGTACAGAACTGGAGATGAATGTGATGGACTGGTTATGTAAAGCTCTGGGCCTCCCCTTCTTCTTCCTGCACCACCATCCTGACAGCAGAGGAGGAGGAATACTACAGGTTTGACATCCCTTCAGTTGTCTCTTTTAAATCTACAGTTAATGTGATAACTTGGGTTTACGATCTGTCTCTCCTATTAGAGCACCGTCAGTGAGAGCACACTGGTCGCTCTGCTGGCTGCAAGAAAAGACAAAATCTTGCAGCTTCGCGCGGAGATCGATCAGGACGTAGACGACTCAGTCCTGAATTCAAGACTGGTGGCCTATGCCTCGGACCAGGTCAGATTTACCAGCTCGTGCTAAAAACGTTTTTGTCAGTTTGATTAAATGAATGAGAGAATGATGTGATGTGTGATTTCTATTTCAGGCACATTCCTCCGTTGAGAAGGCAGGTCTGATCTCTCTGGTGAAGATCAGGTTTCTTCCCACTGATGAGCAGTTGTCTCTGAGAGGAGATATTTTAAAACAAGCCATTCAGGAGGACAGGAGGAGGGGACTGGTTCCTTTCATGGTGGGTGAAAGGTTGAGTGTGTCTTACAGAGATAAACTATTTCATATTTCAGCTTATTTCACAACCTTTATAGAGTGCTTTTGGCAGAACTTAATTTATAGTAATGCCTCTGTTGCTTTAGACATTCATTAACATTTCTATCATTTTCAACAAGGTCATGTTACCACCTAGTGGCAACAAGCAGGAAGCTTTTACAATCCCTTATCGCTGATGCATTCATGGGAAATCCAACATTTGACATTTGGAGGTCAGCTTTCAAATGGCAAAGCCTTCAGAAGAAGACATTATGATATCCACCGGTCCATCTCTACAAGCCTATGCTTGTTTACAGTCACTTATACCTGAAGGGATTTTAGCAGCTCACCTTCAAATCTATGAAGCTTCCTTAAATGTGCTAATGTGAAAGACTTGCTATATTGTTTGCTTCAGAGATGATCAGGCACATCGCACACAGTGATGAAATGTAACCTACAACACCATGTACTAAAAGTAAAATGTAAAGGTATTTTAAACTTAGTTAGAGCATGTACATTTGATGTTGATTAACAATAAATCAAATCAAGAATACATTTGTTTGCTGATAATCCTTAAGTTTATTCATGTAGTAGGAGTTAAGCAGGGCTTGCACTTGTGGAATTTAAGACTTGAGTATTGGTATTCTCTTTGCTTAAGTGTCCGAGCACTTCTTCTATGAGTGCAAAGAGCAGCATTTTCACCTTGAAATTATATTGAAATGAAGTAGAAACATTGCGGCTCGAGTTTTAAAAGAAAATTGTCAATATTAAAATGTGACTCCTTGATTTGATGATGTTGTCTCTCCTGTTCAGCTGTGTGCGACTTTAGGAACCACAGGAGTGTGTGCCTTCGACAACCTATCTGAACTGGGACCAATCTGTACGTTTTCAAATGTACTCCCTATACCTTCTCCTTCTGCACTCCCTCTGAAGTGAAACTAATGTGGATTTACAGTAGTCGTGTTTAAATCTTTTTCCCAGGTGCTGAAGAGGGGCTGTGGCTCCATGTGGATGCTGCATACGCCGGCTCAGCGTACTTCTGTCCCGAGCTCCGCTGGTCTCTGGAGGGTATCGAATTCTCTCACTCGTTTGTTTTCAACCCGTCCAAGTGGATGTTAGTCCATTTTGACTGCACAGCTTTCTGGTGAGTAAATACCCTGAACAAATATCTCAGCTGTATTTTGAAGAGTATTTTCTCATATCCATAAATGTCCATAAATGCAAAACACGTGAGGTTGGCTGGTTTAAATGGCTTTACCCTGTTTTTTTCTCAGGGTAAAGGATAAATACAAGCTGCAACAGACGTTCAGTGTTGATCCAGTTTACCTCAGACATGATAACTCACAGGCAGCCACCGACTTTATGGTAATAAACTCTCAGTTCTTTACCAGCTTAAAGATTGAAACATCACAGTGAATCACTTCATGCAATCGCTTTTTTTTCTCCTTCATTTTCAGCATTGGCAGATTCCCCTCAGTCGACGTTTCCGTTCCCTCAAACTCTGGTTTGTTATGCGCTCATTTGGACTGAAAAACCTCCAGGCTCATATCAGACATGTAAGCTGCTTTCTCACAAACCGTTTATGGAATGAAATGAAACGTAAATAAATGTGTTTTTTTTTTTTTTTAAATGTACAAAAACGTATACATTGTTGTTCTTTTTTTGAAAGGGAATTGAGATGGCCAAGCTTTTGGAGTCACACTTGAGGAGTGACCAAAATTTTGAGATTCCTGCAGAGAGGCACCTGGGCCTGGTGGTCTTCTGTCTGAAAGTATGAAGCACATACTTGGAGTGTCTATGCATTCAAAACATTGAGGGTTAAATTGATTTCAATCTTTATAGAGCAGTAAGTCTGCTTATCATTGTTAAGATGATCAAGGTTTTCAGTCACACCACGTCCAAAGGTGAGCATCTGAAAGAGGATAACTAGTTTATCAGGCAAACTTGAAGGTCAAAGTAATATCACGGATCATTAAATGAGCAAATAAAAAACTTTAGATGTGTGCCAATGAAAAATTCTAGTTTTCTATGGAAGAAAAGAATGACAGTGATTTATCATGTTTCTTTTAGGGAGGAAATGCTTTGACTCAGGAGCTTTTGAGGAGACTGACGCGCACAGGCAGCATGTACCTCATTCCTGCAGACATTCACACCAAACGCATCATCAGATTTACGGTGACATCACAGTTCACCACAGCCGATGACATCCTGAAGGACTGGAACCTCATCTCCAAAACAGCTTCAGTTCTTTTGGCTGAGACTAAAGCTCTGAATAAGAGAGACCAAACAAACCCAGGGACAGAAGAGGTGACAGGAGCAGGAAAAAAACAAAACTTAGACTCAGACACCCTCGGTGAGGAGGCTGCATCCAGGAAGGATGGAGCTGAGGTTGAGCTGTGGATCGACAAGGCATGGGATCGGGCGAGGAGGCCGATGCGCTCTCTTAGCTGCAACAGCGAGCCTCTGCCGTGCACTTACATCGGGCCGATGTCTAGCTACGACTTTAGAACAAGACCTATCAGTAAGGATGCTGCAGGTGCTCTCCAAACACCATCATCTGGCCCTGTGTTAAAGATCACAGAGATGCCTTCAAATGTTCTGGGAAACAAAGTCTTGAAAAAGCTGACAAAGTTCTACAGCGTGCCCAGTTTCTGCAACCAGTGGGTGCAGAGTGGCCGGCACCCGCTGTGCTGCCCTGTGAAGGTGTCACAGACGACTCAGAAACATTTGTCCTCCACCTGCAGGAAAATTAACTGCATGTCTTGTTCTCCTGTGGCTAAAACAGGTCCATCTCAGACTCAAATGGAAACTGCCAATGCACCTGCACTCCTTAAAGGGCCCTGAGAGCAGTATTAGTTTATCATCCACAGAAAGTAACTCATCTACGAGTAACAGAGAAATGTAATATTGTCTGTACTGGCTCTGAGACAGTACAACCAGTACATGACAAACTGAAGATCACAATCTATCTGTGTCACTGGTTTGAAATGACTTTGTTCATGTACAACCATCTTTTAAAAATATTTTTTACTAAAAAGCATATCAAACAAAAATTAAATCAATAGAAATGTTTTGTGTACTATCGAAGGCAAAGTGTTTTGTGGAAGTTGTTGTGCTGAACGCTCAATGAGCAGGTCAATAATAATCATCTGACATCCGGTTTCATCTAACAAATTAAATGTGTTTGGAACTGACAATCCAATAATAAACACAGGACTCATTCAGAGCCTGGTTCTTCCCTCTGCGATGGCGTCGAATATCTCCTGAGTCATGGGGACGTAACCCTTATTGTCCACTAGGTAGAACAAAGGGTCCGTCACGGCGGCCAGGTTGAAGCCCTCCTCTGCCAGCTTCCTCTTCATCTGCTTGAACGTCCCAGTTAACAGCAGGGCATTCTGCCAGGTAGTACGATAGATATGTAATGATTGCATGATAATAGAAATCTCATTCTTAATTTTTTTTTGTTAATGATGTAGATGTATGTTGGTTCAGGGTTTTTCATTACCTGTATGCGAATGAAGCGCGGTCTAGCATAGCTGGGGAGGTAGTGTTTGATGTGCTGATATGCAGCTTGGCCGTCAAAGTCCATGTTTTCTTTCAACACCAGGGCTGCCATTCCAATTCTTCCCTCATGTCCTTATCAGTCAAGGTCAAAGGGAAAAGGGTTTTATGTTCAGGATGAACTGTGTGTATGCTTCACTCTGTGGTAAACTACATGAGCATGTGCCTCAAATAAATGTTTTTGTTTCATAATATTTTCATTCTTTGTATATCTTTCCTTCATTTGCAGAATTATCATGAAACAATAGTTTATGATTCATGGTAAGAGTTATAAAGAAATAAACTCCAAACACACTCAAACATATATTGCAGTCAGATTTACAAAAATGTCCCGTTTTGGAGATGCAAATAATCATGTAAGATGGCTCTTAAAACCATTCTCCTAATGATCGAGTTATTTAAAAGTTATTGTAAATAATACAGTCATTACCTGGTACCTTCACACCATAGACATTAGCCTCCTCCACGCAGTCAACCATGAGCAAATGATCAGCCACCTCTGTGGTTGCCACGTTTTCTCCCTTCCACCTGTCGGAAAATACGATACAACGGTTCAGCTGCAATGCTTTCATTTCACAGCACTGAGGGGGAGAAAAAAGTTATTACATAGTAGAGCGGAATAAATATGAAATGGAGATTATTTATTATAGGGTGTCTGCTTTTAGCATCCTGAAAACATGTTTCAAAATAAAAGATAATTCAGTTAATAATTGATTTTTTCTTCAAGGTTCTTTTTACCCTGTGTTTGTACAAGGCTTATATACTGTTGGGCAACTAGAACAAGAACAGTCCCTGTGTAAGGTGGTTTTATAAAAAGGTTAAAATGAACACCTTAATACAGCATAGCATCAGCGTATGTCACTGATAGAGAGTCAAGTTAATCCAGTTTAGTGCATTCACCTAAATTTGTTTTCATTATTTTGTAGAGTTGAACACATTTTCCAAATAAAATATCATAATAATAATCAGTAAAGCCTGAGTTGATCAATCTTGGGATCAGGGATACTGAATAACCTTCATCTAAAAAGCTCAAACATTGTCACTGTTCATGCTTTGTTCTGACTTTAACATTCTTATCCAAATAATGTTAACCCTTTTCTAGATGTTTGCTTCTGGTCTCCATCATTGGCTCCAGTGTATTTCATCCACAGACCTGAAAGTGTCTCCGATTCGGTCTTGAAAGAAGATGAATCCCTCGTCGTCTATCCTCAGAAGGTCTCCACTGTTAAAGTAAAGGTCTCCCTTCACAAACACGTCTCTCAGCTTCTTCTTCTCTGTCTGCTGCTGGTTCTTGGCGTAGCCGACGAAGGGTGCCCTTTCACCAATTTTTGCCACCAACAAGCCGGTTTCTCCTGAGGGTGAATGCAGCGAAAAACGGGATATGAAGTAACAGATGAAACAGATGAAAAGTCTACAGAGAGCCACATTTTTGTAAAGAAGGGGGACCTTCTCACCTCTTGGGACTTCAATACAAAATCCTCTGGAGTCTTTGACCGGCTCCTCTTTCTCTGTGTCGTACCGAATGAGGGCGTATTTACAGCCCATCTGAGAAACAGATCGAATATGAAATGTTTGTAAAATAATAAGGTAAAAATGTATATAAATAATCTTGTTTTGTCCATCAATATTCACATCACATCTGTTTCTTCTATAGATTACTCATGATATTAGCATGTGTATAATCAGGAATTAACAGTTTGGCCAACTCACAATTCATGCCATGATTTGAAACGTTTCCTTCATGACGGTAAAAACACAACAAGAAGTCAACAGAACACACATATCAAATGGTGCTGTGATGCAAAACAAGGTTCCTATATGCAGTCTTGAAATTGCAGCCCTGTCTACTGCGAGAACATAGAAATGTCGGATCACGAATCTAATCACAAAGAAGAGGTGGGATCTTACTTTAACCCTCATCGAAAATGTTTCTGAGTTGTCTTTTTTGTGAACTATACATGTGTTTTGTGTTGAGGGTTTTACAATGTTTTTAGTTTTTATTGTGTTTGGGAAATGTTGTCATGTTTCTGTTCAATTCTGTTCTTTGTGACACGATTTGTTTCAATGATTTTGGACCTTCACAGCCACTTACAACAATAAGCCACTTATCCACCTTGAAAAAGTAGTTTCAAAAGTCCATTTAACATTAAGTCTCATATAGATTATATACTGAGACCTGTTGACATTATGCACAACCAGCATTCATCCACAGCCTCTTACCTTGTGGAGAAAATGCTCTTTGCCAATTGCTCCAACTTTGCCAACATAGTTGACAAAACCAATGTTTCCCTCTGTGGCTCCATAAACTTCACAGATACGGATGTCCCCAAACCTCTGCAAGAATTCAGCCCAGGTGTCTGTCCTTATCCCGTTCCCCATGGCCAATCGGACTTTATGATCTCTGTCATTGTCTCTCTAGAGGAAAAGAAACAAGGTGAGTAAAACGGAACAATTTAATGGAATTGTGTGTCCCCTTGTCACTTATAAAACACACTAAAACAATATAAGGAGAGGTTGTCCTGAGGCCTACCTTTGGTGTGTTGCAGAGGTAGCGCATAATTTCTCCGATGTACTGAATAACTGTAATGTTGTACTTCCTACAGTCATTCCAGAAGTTGGAGGCTGAGAATTTACGTTTTAACACAATAGTGATGCCTAGAAATAAAGAGGCACACATCTCAGCAACACATCATCGCACACTGAGCTTAATTGCTGTTGTCACTTAATGACCTTTAAGACTCCAATATACAAATAGTACTGTGGAAATCAGAGCGGACAACTGGCTGCTATTTGAGGTCATTCAAGTTTAACCTTGAGTAAACACATCAGGATGCAGTTTGGGTGTTAATGTTTTGTAGTTTTTATGAGGCCATGAATCACCTTTCTCCATGGCTCCACAAAGTCCCATTAGGAAGCCAGCGCTGTGGTAAAGAGGAAGGTAAACGTAGACTATATCGTTGGAGCGAATGCCAACCATGGACTGAAAAAAAGATGACAGCCACAGCCTCTCGTGGTTAATAACAGCTGCCTTGGGAAGCCCTAAAAGACAGCGTCAACATTATAAGCATATTTACATTGTCATCTTTCTTACTTTCAAAAATACAGATTTGAATTCAATTTCAGAGGAGCCATTAGATTACCTGTGGTCCCTGAGGTGTAGATGTACAGCGCACGACTCGACATGTTAATGTTGGCCCTCAGCTGAGGTGACAGCGGCTGATCTGAGGCCTGCTGAATTTTGTCTGAGAAGCTTTCAATGCCCTCTACATCACAGTGCTCACTGAGGATGAACACACGGACGCCCTGCTCCTTTAGGGCGGGCAACACCTCCTCTACAGCCCCCTGCAAGTCTGAGACAGAGAGCAGAGAGCGCTAGTGAAGGCTTCACAGAGGTCAATGCAGCTGCAAGAAAATCTGACATAGACATGGTTTATTCAAGGACAGTTCTAATGGAATGCATTTTTAGTAGCCTATAGCAAACCAGGTCTTCAATAACATGTGAAGACCTGTCCCTCCTGCAAAAATTGTTTTTCAACTGATATTTGAAATTCATCTGCAGGTTCCTGTGATCATATTAATGTCTCACATAGGGGGCTTTTGGAAATCCACTGTCATATTGAATTTCTTTATGCAATGCCAGACAAAAAAAAAGCAAATTCATCTCAAAATCTGATAGAAGATCAATGTCTGTCTCAGTGTTTTTTTTTTTTTAATTTACCTTCACCGGCCACCAGGACCTTGGCTTCGCAGCAGGAGAAGCAGTGCAGCAGAGATTTGGATCTGATGTTGCAGTTCAGCAGAGAAGCTGTGCATCCCAGTTTGGCCAGTGCGAGCCAGGTCCACACAAACTGCGGCTCGTTTCCCAGGAACACCGCCACCGTGTCCCCCTCCTTCAGGTGGGCGTGCGTGGACAGAGCTCTGGCCACCTTGTTGCTCTCTTTGTCCGCCTGGCTGTAAGTGTAGGAGCTCTCCTCGAAAAGTATGAACTGCTTGTTCGGCTGCTTCGCCACTTTGTCCAGAAAACTATCCAATATACTGTAAAAAGGTTTCCGTTTTTTGAATTTGGCCATTTGCATGGCAATTTTGATCATAGCGGTGGCATAACGGAAGTCAGTAAAAACGTAACGGTTTCTCAAGTAAAGCAATAAGGGCAAAATGGCCAAAACGGAAAATAGAATGTATGCAATCATTATAGCCAGAAGAAATGAGTCAGTCCTGCCGCTGCGAGAGTCGTGCAAGGTTCAACTTTCAGCAGCAAACAACCATCTGAATATAGTCCAGAGCAGTTTACGCCTCCTGAACTTTGAACAACTTTCTCTTCTGGGCGTGTAAAAAAAAAAAGCCAATGTGTTTCTCCAGCTGCTGTCAATGCCAAAGGTTGGCACCATATTGTATCTTTCTTTTACCATCATGTTATCAGAAGCTTCCTTGTTCTGCAGTGAATGCTGCCAGAAAGATGATTTGTAGGATACTGTTGCTGCCTCATTGGTCCAGCTTTTGAATCTGGAAAAACTTGTAGAGTTCCAGTTGTGCGTTGACTCAAGGTGAACACATTACACAAAAAGTTAAAAACCACCAACAATTACGGAATGTAGGCCTAGGCCATACCAACGCTGGAAAAACGTGCACTTCTGTGGCCTAATTAATTGATTAAACGTACAAAACTGTAATAGCCTATACTCGTTGTTAATATTTACAGTCTATAGGTTGCACCACATAAACTCGACTTCCAACAAGATTGATGTTTTGAAAGAAGGTTCTAGTCAAAAGGATCAACAGTCATTCTACTTTCTGTTTACTTGACCGACGAAACCCTCGATGTCTTTTGCAAACCCACCAAGCGACCTCCTACCTCACCTGTAAGGGGGGGAAATGGGAATGGGGGTCGATAATACTTCTGACCACTAGGTGGCGTTACCAGGCTACACCTACCTGTGAGCCCCATTCAGTCAGTATTCAGTCACGGTTCTTCTACGTTTTAATAGAAAACAGTTTACAAGCACTAATACTGTCTAACTTTCTTATTTACTCACTTACTTGTCCTAACCCTTGACCTCTGTGCAAGCTTTTCATGTTTTGCCATCTGCTTGGTTGATTTTCTTTTTTTTTTTGATTGATAATCTGTTGTGACCCTCACATGTCAAAAGAAGACAAAACTTGAATCTTCTGGTATGTGTCGTGCTTCTGTGACTGAGGCCTGTTTGTTTCCAAGACAGGATCATATGTAGTAGCCTAATACAACTTATCTTAATCCATGCTTTAGTAACATGTTCAACAGACAACATGATGTCATTTTTTAGCTTTCCACATTAATCTATTCAGTGTGTATCACGTTTAGCACTCCATATCTTGACTGTATTCAGAACAGACTGATAGCATGGTTGTGTGTCCCCACCTTGTGGTTTCTACACAAGTAGAAAATGTTAAACGTAGGATTTTCTTTACACCATTTAGGCTTCATTGTTGTAACCATTACGAGGAAAATGTAGTGGATCAACAGAAACTAGTTTTACAGACAGAATCGCTTTAATTTCAAAGTAAGTCATTTTTATTTACATATATTTGCACAAAAATATAAAATTCATGTCTTGTTCTACATTATTTCCCAAACTCTTAAAAAATGAAAGGCCTACATACTTTATTTTTTTATTTTTTTTATTAATTACAAGCAGCAGTCTTACAAATGAATATACTATACATTTATCCTTGCTTTCCAGAAAATAAACATTTATTTACATTGCCATTATTAAGCTCCCCTCCTCCGCAGCCTGTCTCCTACCCCTGACATAAATTCTGAAACGATGCCTACCCACTGATTCCCATCTACTGCTTTCAATAAAATGTTTGTTACCAAATCTAAGCTCCTGTGAGAAACTTTCAGTTTGTGTTGATTTTGGCGACGCTTGAACCTCTGCTGATCGTTGCCAAGAAAAAGTAAGAGAAAAAAAATAATTGGCATTGTGCTTTGAATTGCCTCACCTGACACCCACCCTGCAGCAGCTTGTACAGGCATGCAAAATTACTTTAAATAAACTGATCAGTGTTCTTGCCGATACTCTCTCTCTTTTGTAGGTTATATCAAGGCATCTGTATTCATTTCTGTTTCATAACCAGCTAAAAACTGCTCAAAGTAGCTTTAATTTGTATAACTTTGCACATATGATGTGTAAGTCAATTTAAATGCCCAAAGCAACCACCCTGCACACTAACACCCTCCTTATAGTTTGAGGTTTCCTGATGTAATGGAGCTGAATACCTGAGCTGTCAGAGGTACGTAACTCTTGTCATAGTCATTGAGGATGTAAAGAGGGTCCTGGATACGTCCTGGATCAAACCCCTCGTCCACTAGCTTCACCTTCATCTGTTTGAAGGTCCCTGTCAGCTCCACAGAGTTCTGGTTTAAAGAAAGCACAACATGTTTCAGGTACAGGTGTAACATATTGACCTGAAATCAACCCAAAACTCACAGGACATGAATGAAAACCCCCACTCTTCCTGTTTACTGATAACAAAAGCCATTCATTTGATTAACTGTGAAAGACACTTTACATCGGAATGTGAAGAACAGGGCATCATAAAAAAAAAGAAAAAAAAAAAAGCCTTTAATCCAAGTTGGCAAACCAGACCACCTGGATACGCGTGAACGACTCTCAGAATAAACATTCCAAGGAAGACAGCCGTCTGCCGAGTTCATCAACACGGCAGGGGAGGCCTTTGATGTGATCCAGGCTATCTCAAACGGACTTAATAGCTTTTAGACCCATTGAACGAACTGCCTTAACCAACATAATCCATTTCTGTTATAAAAGAATTTCGGTTCAATCCCTGAATCGGATCTATGTATCCATGACATCAAGACTAACACTTTCATGCAAGTTGGATTCCGCTACGATCATCTATGACGAACTTAGATATTGAAAACCTAAATCACATTACCTAATGAACTCTACTTGAATCTTACGTGGAGCACTACTGCCCCCTAGTGGCAAGAGCGCTGTACCGACCTGAGTTTCAGGACGGAGGGAGTACGATAGTTACTATGTGATTTTGTCCTAGTTATACATTTTGTATTCTAAGATATGATTTTATACCCTTCATACTATATTAATGTGTTTTTGAATGTTGAATGGTATAATGCTGATTTCATTCCCATACAGGCGGAAATCGTCTAACTGTCTTCAGGTTGGACGTAATGTCTATTTCATTGCATAATTGTCTGAAATGTTTACTGTCGGAAATAATCCTACATAAGAATATTGACATGGTGATGTTCGTATGATCAAAGGTCTTATTTATGCTCTTAATAAGTAAAGAACTCGGAGTGGATTAAATTAAAAGTTAAACATCGGAGGCGGGTTAGATATTAGGCCCCCGCCCCCTCGTCAAAAGTCATCCCCAGGATAAAGTAGCTCGTCTCTCAGGAGCTCTCGCTTCTTGTAAATTTCTCTCATAACTTCTTCTTCTAAAACTCTCTTTGACGTCTCTTTTGTTAATTCTTGTTTCAAACCACTTTGTTTTTAGTATGAGATTGGGGTGTTGAGTCAAGCTTGTGGTATCCGAATCAAAGCCTCAGAGTCAACTTTCATCAAATTTATTAAGTTCCCTTTTTATTTTTATTTCTCAAAATCCCACTTCGTTAAATCCCTCAAACGATATAGTTAAACTCCAAAATCGACATAAGGATCTCACCATGGCAACTTAAAACAATTCAATATTATTATTATTCAAGTTATATCACTGTCGTAATTATACTGATATTACCTATGCATTTCCTTTAAATTCTTCTGTTCATCATTTTTCTTTATTAAACTTTCATATAAACTTTCAGTACTTTGTCTGTGTAATTTTATGGTTTTTTTACTGCTTGAGAATTCATCCCAATGATATGAGACATATTTATAGATTCATTAATTACTACAAGTAATATTAGTTTCCTTACTTAACAAGGGTGGTGCCCCAAGTTATATATATTAAACATTAAATGTAGATACGCTACACAGGTACAACACCTGATGTTTCTGAGCATGTAAAATAAAGTTACCTGTATTCTTATGAAGCGAGGTCTTGCATATGAGGGCAGGTAGCTGATCACATGGGTATAAATTGCACTTCCATCAAACTGGACTCCCTCCTTCACAGTGACAGCTGCCATCCCTATCCGCCCCTCATGTCCTACAATGCACAGCAGAGAAAAGACAATCAAACAGTCTGTCAGTGTTCTGAAGTCATGATATTGTAATTTAATATAGAGTGGAAATTACATCACCGTGCACTTGGACTCCATAAACGTTGGCCTCTTTGAGATTGTCGCTGATCGTCAGGATGTCGGACACCTCGGTAGTAGCTACATTCTCTCCTTTCCACCTGGGTGATCAAACAAGTTGCAACTTTATTTCAATGTTGTGTTTCTCTACCCCGAGGCCTGAGTATAATTTACAGACATGTCTGAGCAACAAATAGAAAATTGAACCTGGTGCATGACATGCAGAGGACTTCAGTGTTGCAACATTAAATGGATAACGTTTTTATTATGACTAAAATCTTTTGTTGGATGTCTTTTTTTTTTTAGAGTTAATCGTTCTAATAGGAAGAGGGTTGCATAAAAACAATGGATTTGTGTCAAAAAGAAAATGTTGATCTGTTATTCAAGGAGAATAAAGACCTTCTTTCTTCAGTATATAGAAAAAGCTTTTAATTGTATAGCTGGTAATAAGCCAGGGAAGAATTAACTCTACAGTAACTGATGACACATCTCCAACTCCTCCTTTCATATCAAACTGTATTCACCCTGTAACACAGATTCCTTTTAGTCATTTAACAGTGAATGTATATGTATTTGTTTAAAAACAACACAAACTTATATATATATATATATATGTATATATGCTGAAGCACCCTTACATTTTATCTCAGTACCCCGGTATATGAGTGCCCACCACATTTTCAAACTTGAGTTGTATTTTGTAAATATATTTATTGAATTTTCTATCCATTTGAATAAAGTGTAGTAATAATCATTACTATGTTTTTTTGTTTTTAAGAACTAAAGTATTTAATAAGTCAGTGATAATCTTAATGATGCTAGAAACTATATGATAATAATGACGTGTAAAATGCAAAGAAAGCATATTCCATATTCAATTCTCCTAAATAGATTACTATGTGCTTTAAAACACATGTCCTAAGTATTATTGTAGTTCATAATGATCTAATATAAAGAAGATTATTTCTTGTTGTTTAGTAAAATGAATTGTTTCAGCTGGAGAATTAAACACCTGAACAGAACTACGACACAATCTGTAACGGATTTGAGCACCCCTAAAGTTCAAAACCTGAAATGAGTCTGGTTCTGCCCGAGACTTCTGCCTCTCAGTTTTTGCCTGCCACAGTAACTTTGCTAAGTGTTGCTTAGTGCTGTGCTCATGGTGCATTAATGTCCAGTCTTTGTAAATATTACAAACAAAGAGTATGGTCTACCTGCTCTTTTTGTAAAGTGTCTTACAATTTGTTATGAATTGCCGCTATACAAAGAATGATTGATTGATTTAAATCCCAGCTGCTTCAAACCCTTATCATGTTGCTAAACATTCTGTACCTGAAGGTGTCGCCTACACGGTCCTGGAAGTAAATGAAGTTGTCGTGATCGATCCTCATCAGGTCTCCACTGTTGAAGTAAAGATCTCCCTTCTTGAGAACATTTCGAAGTCTTTTCTTCTCCGTTTGTTCTTCATTCTGGGCGTAGCCGACAAAAGGAGCGATGTCTGTGATCTTGGACACCAGCAGACCAGTTTCACCTGAAAGGAAACAAAAAAAGACATGTCGAACTGCCTTTTTAAATCAATCCACACCCACCCACTATTTGGTCTAAACTGGGTTGGAAAAGAACCCTCAGGGATAAAAAAAGGTTTCAACACTTGCAAAGTTTCTTCACCTTTGGGTGCCTCCACACAGAGGCCATTAGCATCTCGGATGGGTTCATCCAGCTCGGTGTCATACTTGATTAATGTGTAAGGAAACAGCTTCTACAGGAGAACACAAACACATCAGTGTTACGTTATACAACCAATTCATCCTATACCAAGGGAAAAACTTATTACACCAATATTATTTATGGAATGTCACAAAATTCATTTTATGTAACTTGAACTTCTTCACAACATGTCAGGTAAAAACTTTTTACTGCTTGAAATATTGGAGGCTGCGGTTTCTTTTCAGAACACCATTTCCAAGACTGCACCAAGACTAGAAAGAGACAAAAAGTCATCAGCGTTCCTACAGTGAAAACTACACATCTCCAAACTTTGTTTATTTTTTAGCTTCAACTGTCCGATTACCTAAATGATAAGTTTTATTTATGGTTTTTTATATATCATTCTATACACATGGACGTTTTAGGCTGAGCAACAGTAATACTAACCAAACCACTTAATATAATCACATAACACAGACAGGGACCATTTTACTGCATAATAAAGACATTTGTCACACATAATTTCAAAAGTACGTACATATAAGACATTCAATAAAATATCTTGTAGTTAAATTGAAAATACTGTTTTTTATACATAGATGTTAAACTAATGTGCGGGATGCCTACAAAGGCAAAAGGCAGTAACTTCAATTTTTTCAAAAATTAGTTTTTGTCATTTTTGGAGCATTACAGATGTGCTTTATCATGTGGACAGATATCTTGAGTCAATTGTTTTTTTGGGGTTTTTTTTTTTTTTTTTTTTAGAAAATAGTAGGTTGTATTTGCCTTAACTTCCAAAAGCCCTCGAGAAACCAAGGCAGAGTGCAGTAACTTCACTTATAAGAGTCTTTGCCTTTGAACTGCAGCATTCTTGAATGCTCAAACTGAGTTAAGGTCTTCTGTCTTTGTTTTGCTGCAGATCAAAGTGAAGTTACTGTTTTACTGCAGTGGAGTTAAGGTGTTATGCCTTTGTTTTAATATCTGTCATCAAGCACTTCTGACACACACAGTTGCTTGACTAAAGTGTAGCAAAGAAATAGTGTTGGTTGTGTTATTTTAACCATGCAACCAAGTGAAATACAGTATCAAATGGAAGTTAATGCCTTTTGCCTTGGCATGACCCGTTATTATTGTACAGGCAATGCACAGGCAGAGTACCTTAACTTCCAAATAAGGGTCAAAGGTCATGTTTGAGCTAAAGATTTTTATGAACATTAATAACCTCATTAAAAAGACATAGAATTGCCACATTTCCAATATTCTGCCTGCAACTCATTTGGCTGGACAACAAAAAGACTTTAAAGTCATTTTTCACAGTTCTACACTCTGGCGAGTTAAGGTCTTTTGCCTTTGTGGGGCAGTATAGTCCTCATCACAGTGGCCGTGGGTTCAAATCCCACCTCAGCCCTTTGCTGCATGTCATCCCCCACACTCTCCTCCCAATATTTCCTGTCTCTTCAGCTGTCCTATCTAATAAAGGTAAAAAGTCTCTTTAAAAAAATAAAGAAGAAAATAATGTTTTCACCATTTAAAGCACCAGTTGGGCCCTAAGATGCTGTTCAAAGCTTGTGAAATGTCAATAGATGGGCCTTTAGTAACTTTTTTAGAAGCACACACAGAATGGCAATATACCATAACAGAAACTATCACAACTTTATGTCACTCTTACCTTGTGGAAACAGTTGACTCTTCCAATTGCTCCAATTTTCCCAGCGTAGTTGACAAATCCCACATTTCCTTCAGTGGAGGCGTAAAACTCCCGGACTTCAATGTTCCCAAAGCGGTTGAGAAAGTCTCTCCAGATTTCGGCTCTGACACCGTTTCCAATGGCGAGTCTTACTTTATGGTCCCTGTCATTGTCTCTCTGCATTGTGATATAAAAAAAAAATAAAGGAGGTCAAGCATTATGTAAGTGACACAGAAATAAATCATGTATGACCTCATTATTTGAAAAAGTTCAACGACCAGGATAAACTGTAACTGCACTTCTTTTAAAGATACATAACGTGAACTTACATGTCTTATAATAAAATGTATAATAATAAAATTTCATTAGACCCATCATCTTTGATTTACTTTTTGATTTAAGTATGGCTGTTCTCTGTTTAAATACAAGAATGTGACATCATAGTCCAGTTCACCCCAGAAAAAAACCTTTGACCTAAAATGCCTTTTTCCTCTGAAACTCATATAAGAAACAGAATTCTTTGTCATAACATGTGACCCTTAAGTCATACACTAGGCCTGGGAGATTTGGTTACCCAGTTACTTGATATGGTCTTCCTCAGTAAAGGCCAGCATCTATTCCTAGAGGTGACCAGATACAGACAAACTGCCTCCTCTCATTGCTACAGGGTCAAGCAGTAAAACGACACTGCACTTCATGTGATGCAATACGATACTCTGAATGGCCATACATGTAGCGGGAGTGCAGTACTCCATATACAGTACACAAATATTCCAGAGTTTAAATGTATGCTATTATTTTGACACTCTAAAAATGTGTATTATTGTATAAAGAGTGATATTTGAACATATTCATAATGTTTCCTGCTGGTCAGACCCCTACAGATAGTGACGCAGAAAGCAGGAACCCGATAGTTGGGATTTAATGATTTCTATTTTGGTAAGCCAGCTGTGTTGCCCTGTAGGAATGTACAGATTTGGAAAGTAAATGTCGGAGTATATCTGTCTCAATGGCAGCTAGCTGCAGCCGGTTTTACAGCGCTCTGCCTCTGCAGATGTATTAAGGAAATATTTTTTTTTAACCAAAGGGTAAGGATTGCAGAGGACGTTAGGCTCCCACAGCGTCCCGTTGAAAAACCTAATCCATGTGAATTAGACTTTTCCTTCAGGTGTCATGGGGTTAATATGTACAACACCCTTTACAGAACAGTGCAATAACAAGAGACTTTACAGACTGCCCTAAGGACAGTGGTATCTAGGGCATATGAATAGTGATTTTTCTTTTTTGTATTTGTCTTAACTTGTATTTTGATTTGCTGTAATCATTGAAGGAGCGGCATCTCATTTTTGTACAGCTGTTTGACAGTACAGGCTATCTGATTCTGGAAAACTAGAAAATAAGCATCGGGTTCAGTCACAAAACTAGAACTGGGCTAGCCTCCTCTTTGAATGATGAAGAAAGATGTGAATGTGATCTCTAACAGAATGACTTTCTGCCTTTGTAACACATTCGTTTAACAACAGACTGATGTGATTACCAGTAAACATTACTTTCTGATCAGCTAAATCAGCTGAACTTTTTGTTTTCTTGTGATATCTAGTCAACTGTGCCATATTCAGGTTCAGATTCAGGTCTAATTACAGATTTATTTCCTCAACTGTTTATAGGTTCTTGTTTAAATTGCACATATATTTTTATCCCTGCACGGGTTATGTACACTTCTTGTATAAGTCTATTTTTTCAGGTTAATATATATGTATGGGGGGGGGGGGTCGGCTTGTGGTTTATTTGTAACAAATGTTTCATGTCATGTACGTCTCTGTAACCTGCTACTGGATGCTTTGAATTTCCCTCAGGATCAATAAAGTATCTATCTACTATCTTGAGGTAATGAAGCTTTTTTTCTGAGGATAACAAAATAATTATCTCATGATCTTGAGAAAATGACATTAGAACACAAAAAAGGCATAGCTGTACTAGGCCTATGTAGAAATATTGTCAAAATAGACTTGAGTTTGTATAGAGCTTTTCTAGGGATTTTTTTAAATTAATTTTTCATTTTTAATTGTATTTACTGTTTATTTTTACTGTTTATTTTTACAATTAAATGTAATTGCACCAGAGTTAGATAATAACACATTTCAAACCCCAACCTTCCAGTTGAGAGACGACCAACTCTACCGCCCACACTGCTTGCTGCAAAGTAAATTTAACCACTGCGTCAAAAGCTCTGAACAGAGAACCAGTTTTACCTTGGGTGTGTTGCAGAGGTAACGCATCACCTCCCCGATGTACTGCACAACAGTCACACTGTGTTTCCTGCAGTCATCCCAAAACTGAGAGGCAGAAAACTTCCTCTTCAGAATGATTGTTGACCCTTCAAAATCAGACAGAAAACAAAGAATCTGTAACGGGCTAAGCAGGACAGAAATGTGATTACAACAGCTTCATTGATTAGGGATGTTCACCTCTGTTACTGCTGTTCAAAACCTTTTAGATATTCAGTTACAAACACATTGATACAACTAATAAACAATGCATGCCGTTCATTAGGTATAGTAATGTCTATTTTCATTAATGACCAATATAGTTTGTGTGGGTTGGGACTTAGCTTAGAGGTTATGTTGCGCGCCCTATCTACAGGTAGTCCTCGTCTCAGCGGTCGTGGGTTCAAATACGACCTTGGCCCTTTGCTATATATCATCCCCTGCTCTTTCCTCCCAACATTTCCTGCTTCTCTTCAGCTGTTCTATCCAATAAAGGCGAACATGGCCCAAAAATAAAAGATTTATGTTGTTAAACCTGTCTAAGCCTAACTTCCAGTCAACCAAACGACAGGCTGAGAGCTTTAACAATGTTAAACTGGATGACATGTACCTGCATCCAGTGCACAATTGTTTTACATCCGTGTTACTCAGGCTGCTTAACCCGACATGTAATAGCAACATGAACTTTACCCTGAATAGAGAAAAGCAGCTAGAAACAAGAGGTAATCTGGTTGTGGGTGACCCGGCTCTGTTCAGATTAATGCTTCACAGGGACAAAAGACTCTTTCATTTAGTTTCTCAGGGGCAGGAGAACCAGAGGGAGAAGGAGGGATGAGGGCATCACTTTTCAGTCCACAATGTTCAAGCACCAGCCTTTTATTTAGGTCATGTGTGAGAACCTTTCATGAATCTGCATAATATACAGAAGCCTCAGCTGGTCCTTGAGATGAGGACTGACCACTAGATGTTAACTACAGGATCTCAGAAACTAAAAGATAATCAGTTTTTTGTTTTAGCTCATTTAAAGTTAAGAGTGACAATGTATTATTTTACCTTATCTAATGGCTCTCTAATTTGTTTATTTAGCTTTATTTTAGTTTACTTGAATTTTAATGCAGGACTTAGTGTGTAACTGTAATGCTTGTACCTACGCTGCAAGCTACCGAAAAATAAGCCAATTTTTTATCAAGCTTTCACAAGGTAACTGCCCGTGTTTTGCACCTGGCTGTCCAACAAAAAGCAGGTTAACACCGAGTCGCTCTTTATCACAAGCAGCTCCTTAGGGGCCTGAAAGTCAGTTTGCAGTCAGAGTTCATTTGGTTACATCATAGAAGACTAGTGAACTGCAGCACTTACAGTATTGGAGCAGATTCAATGTTCTGCTGCAGTTTAGCCAGGAGAGCCTTTGCTCTAAAGTACTCTTAATGTAGTAACTGTGCACTTGGCATCCCAGCAGTCTTTTCACCGGTAAAGACAACAGTGGCATTAGCAGCAACAAGGACTGCTTAAACACGTTAATTGAGCATTCAAAATTTAGAGGTGAAGGAAGACTTGTGAATATCTGTAAAAGTATTTTCAGCCTGAAATGCATGAACAACTCAGCACTCTTGTACAAAGGTAAAGAGTCTGCAAGGAATCTCACACAGACCCTCACAAGGTTTTTTGTTCTGAGTGTACGACTGCTACATCTCAATAACCTCACCTGTCTCAATGGCACCAATAAAGCCTATAATAAATCCAGCCGTGTGGTACAGAGGCAGGTTGACGTAGATGACATCACTAGCTGATACACCGTTAGATGATAAAACAGCTAGAGCAGTCAGGAGGCGGTTCTGATTGACCACAGCTGCTTTAGGTAGACCTGAAACACAAAGAGACACACTAAGCACACACGTTTAAAACTGTGAGGAGCATGTTGCTCGTACGGATTATCACATCAAAGTGAAAATCAGGCAGACCAATACCTGTCGTGCCAGAGGTGTAGATATAGACTGCAGGGCTTTTAAATGTGAGGTGTGACCTCAGGGAATGGGGGAGCAGGCCGTCTGACGCTTTGTCCACTTTATCAGAAAAGCTCTCTATCCCAGGTGTGTCGCAGTGTTCGGTCAGCAGGAGGACGGTGACGTCCCGCTCCATCAGTGAAGGAAGCACATCCTCCACTGCTTCCTTCAGCTCTGGAAAGGTGCACACAGTAATATAATAACCACTAGATATTACTTTTACATTACTATACAGCCTTGCTGAGATATTGGCCTAATGATGTCATGAAATATGCAGCTTTACAGAAAATGCAAGTATGATCAAAACCTTTACGGAAGACAAATAACACCTACTTTCCTCAACCTTCTCTTAGAGGTTTATTGCAAGTGCTTAGAGGCTGCAGGAATGTTAGTGAACTAAAGGGCTTACTTCAGGAGAAAATGACGGCACACACTTCTTTTTTTTTTTTAGACCAGAAACACTGTTTTCATCTCTGACTTATTGGTTAACAGTTGTTGCAGTCGCCTTAGATGCTATGTACAGACCCTTTAACAGTCACTTTCCTTCTGAGAACTGAGAGGAGGCTTCATGAAGTTAATTCAAATATAATGTTAAGTCAAATGGATCACATTTTTTAAATGTTGTTACCCTTAAATGATAAGTTAAGACTCTTGCCTTCCAAATGTTAGTGTTAAAATAATCTAACAGGGGCCTGATTCAGGATAATATCCCCAAGACAGTCTACTGCAGGCTACTAGAACACCATATGTTTCAAACTTATATTCCCAAAGGACTTTCTCCACTGTAGCTATTCAGTTTGAAAATGAATTCTAACTCAAACATTTAGAAAACAGAAATAGTTCCCATAATTTAGTTGGTTTTTTTTTTTTACATTCCATCTAACCAGAGACTAGCTGAAGTTATTGTCTCGTGAAGGCGCAGGCCTTACTGCCTTTATTTTGAGTTGTGATCGTAAAAGTTAGTATGGGCCTACACAGACCATGTATACCTGCAGCTGCTATCATCACTTTTGCCTTGCAGCAGTTGAAGCAGTGCAGCAGAGACTTGGTGCGGATGTTGTGGTTGAGGAGAGCAACAGGGGAGCCTAATTTGGCCAAAGCCAGCCAGGTAAAGATGAAGGCGGGTTCATTCCCCATAAAGAGTGCGACGGTGTCCCCAGCTTTATACCCAGGCTGACACTGCATCGCGTGGGCTATTTTGTTGCTCCTTTTATCCGTGAACGCGTAAGTGAAGCTTTCATCTCCAAACACAATGAAAGGTTTGTCTGGGTGTGCAGCGGTCTGCTCCAAAAAACGGTCCAAGACAAGAAAAAGAGGTCTCCTTCTGCGCCTCGAAACAAACCTCACTAAAATCCACAGTAAATCCTTGAAATATAGAATATCTTTCCAAACATAAGGGGAAAAAGTTTTGAGTACGAGTGGTATCATAAGAATACTTGCTAAAATGATGGAAATGAAATACATCATCATGTTTGAACCAATTTTAAACGCTGCACGTCTTGAGGGGGGGAAAAAAATAAAATAAAATGTGCAGCCCACTCTGCAAAATGGGGAATGCTGCAAACAAGGATTTTGTTCAGAGGGGCGGAGCATTTCTGAAAAAGTAGGCTGTGTTCATGACACAGGTCAAATAAGTGAATACCCTACACTAGAATAGGGTCGATGTAAGAAACCTTCGCCCATCAGCAGTGTCTCGCTTCAGCCCATTTTATTAGAAAAGAGGAAAAGGAAGACTTGGTAGGCCAATTTAAACTCTGGGTGACACAGAACTGATAAACACCAAAGAACAAAAAAACGAAAGGATATTTTAAAACGCACCCACTTCTTTCTCTCGCCCTGTGGGTCAGTGTCAGGACAGTTGAAAGATGTTGGTGTTATTGGGTGTAAAAAACAGTCTGTAAACCTTTCAGACTGTCTGGGTTCAGTTCACGCGGTGGGCGGAGCCGCGAACGTCTCATTCACGAAAGTTTGGGGTGACAAAAAAAGTAGCCTTAGCAGTTTCAGGTTATAATGGTCAATGTATAACGAAGTGCATGACGGGCTTACATGCAGATACATAAATAAAGAATAATTTCTCTTACACCAAGATTTTGTTTGGAGCCGTTTTAAATGAAAAAAAAACAACAACATTTTATTAATTGTTAACAAACTCATCACCATCACTAAATATGTTTGCTGAATCCCTTTCACTGTGAAATGCTCTGACAATGAATTTATAATTAAAAACAATGTATGAAAAGGTTGAAACTACCCATGCACAAAACTATGTACACTTATATTATTGTAACGTATTCCCTTGTCAGACTTATTTGCATTTTATTTGTTTAATTTCCCTTCCTTTAGCCCTTAAATGTATTTTTGTGTAGGCTACATGAGATGGGTTTTTTTGTTAAATCTTTTATTTATGGGAGGTGGGATTTCTGTTGTTTGTCAAAGTTGAATATTATAGTGTAAAATTTTGAGTTATGTTACAAAAAAGTTATGATATAAAAAAGTTATACTGATCATTATACAGTTAAAAGGGCCTGTGCATATTTTGTACATTTTGACACATAAGGCCTGTGGATGCAGAGCTACATCAGACCTTCTTCAAAGGTTCACACACAAGAACATCTGTGTAGTCTAGAAATGATCACAATGTTAGAAAAATAGATAGGGTTGCATTTGGACACACATTGAATTATTCCACTATTTTGTAATAAATAAATAATACATTTTCCTTCCAATTTCTCAATAAGATGCATAATGAAACCTTTTTGGGGTTTAGAGCTAAAATGTCTCTCTGGTTTTTCAGGTCTGAAAAAAGGTTTAATCTGCAGTTAAACTGCAGCTCCAAATAAAATGTGGAGTAAAACACTACAATAAATTAAAAAAAAGAACTAGACATTTGTAACCTGAGTGTGTTTGTTTGATTGTTTTTGGTGACAACAGATTGAAAAATAGTTCATTTATTACAACTGTCCAAGTCTCCTTGAAGCTGCCTTATATTCCTGCAGGTGGCACCCTTTCTTTGTCTTTTCCTGGCACCCAAACAATTGTTTCTACAAGCAAAGCTCATAACTGTGAGCTGAGAAGAACATGTTACACTTACAGAGGTCAAATCAGCTTCAGTTTGGAGGGCTGTGGGTCCAATTTCTACAAATTTCGTCGTCTCAAAGAAATGATAACTCTCTATTGTTTTCAACAACCTTTCTCTGGTTGTGTCTTGTGTTTTACTAGATTGTTTTCAGGTTCTTTAAAAAACAACCCCATTAGGTGCCAGTTCAAGAACCAAAAGATAATAATAGTGACATAAATAAGTTCACTTTTAAAACACTAAAACTCAATAAACTTTAGAGAACAAGCTTATGAACTTCTCATCCTCCTACTTAGATTATTTTCACTCCTGACAGAATATTACAGAATAACATGCACAGAGCAATTGAGACTGTTCTCTTTACGTTAAATAAGTCACAGTAGTCCTTCAGCTCGTTCCCTTACACACAAGGTGTGTGGAGCTAATTGACCGTACATATTGGTCCAGGTTCCTTTGTATTATAGTTGCCATTATAAGGCTTTGGTTATGTTCTGGCAAAAGTCAATATTATTAACAACCAGGCACACAGTGGGTGAGGAGCAGGTGTAGAAATGCTGCTGGATGACCGGTTGTAAACAGGTGGGCAGGTTCATCAGGTATCACTGATAAATGAAGATCCAGGAGCCCAGAGAGTCAGAGGTGGATGCAGATGACACAAAGCGAGACAGACAAGAGAAAAGGCAACACATAGGAAAAAGCTTGAACATTAACCCCACTGATTGGAGCGCATCCAAACACATTCCCTATTAGCTAACACGTCAAGATGTGCAAAGAAACAGTCAGAACATTTACAAACACAGTTAAGATACGGTTACAGATGATTGCTGACTTGACTGTATTACTGTCCTTGTCTCAGTACACAAGCACGGGAGGAGAATCCATTTAATGACGTAAGTGTGACCCCTTTCGGCCAGTTAGTATTTGATCTTTTCCGGTTGACATTGCTATCAAGTTAGCAAGCGGCTGGTTATATGTCTAACAGTGAAAACATAGACAACTTTTCAGCTCTGTACATTTTGTATGTACTCATCTCTTTACTTTAGGTACAAATGGAATGGACGCTAACCCTCCCTCTGCTTATTATGATATCCAATGGCAGACGTCAACAGGACTTAGGCTATGCTATGCATTTATCCTTTTCAACTTCTGAGTCGAAGCCTGCAGCAGGGACAGTGGTGGACATGTGCAGAATGCCTGGGCCAGTCTGGGTCCGATTGAGGTGTATACATAAAAGTAAATCAATCCCCAACCACATTACCTGTGTGTTTCAGTCCAACTTCCAGAAATCTGAAACTATTTCAGTCTGTCCAGTTATAGTTGGACTAAGTCAACAAATCAACTTCTTCTTTCTGCATATTTACAATATAACCAAATGTTTTTATACGTCATAACAAAAACAATTGATGAACCCCTCTGGCCTTCTGGTAGGTACAATCGAAGCTGTCTGAGGCCGCCTCATAACTCTTCATTTAGGGTTATAAGGGAAAGAACCTCTCTGAATGTCTTCTCTCCGTGTTCACATATAAAAGGTTTCCTGAATCATATCACATCGTGTTCGTGTTTATTTAGAGAACTAGCAATTCTCATATTCTTGGAAGAAATTTCTCTCATCTCTCACACCAGGCCTAGTTTCCCTGGCCTGTACCATGCTGAAGCACGATGGTCCCTCCTCCTCAGTCCCCGACTGACCTGCACTCACACTGCAGGCCCAAGCGGCCCCTGAGTATGGTTACCTCTGAACAAACGGCAGAATATTTGCAGTTTGCATGATAAGGTTGATATTCATATTCACGTCTTTGTCAAACTAACACAATGCTCAGTAATCTTTTTGACATTCAGGTGGTTTGATTGATTAGCAACTTCAATATGACAAGATGGTAGTTGATTATACATCATGTCAACGTTGTGTTTCCGTGCTCGTGCATGATCAACCATACTGGGCCAAAGCACACCTCTTCCAACCGTGGCAGGGCCAAGGAAGTGTACAGAGCACTGGACTTTAGGGGTCAAACATGTTTGGGCAAGGTAGTGTGATTGTGCCCTTGGTTGCCTTATAACATCCAAAGTGTATTTTGTGCTGGCCTACTTCTTTCCTGGATGCAGTGACTTCCTGAGTGGGGCTAAATCCCTCATTTGCCCCCCAGTCATACGAGCCTGCTTTCTAAACTCGTGTTGTCAGTGCTTTATCTGCTTGTTTAATGTTCATCTACCTCCAAGGACCATGAGATTATTAATGCAGCTTCAACGATATGATCTAATAAATTCTCTGTCCGGATCTGAATGGCATCCTCTGTGAATATCTTTTGAACCTTGGGTATTAGCCAGGTTTTATTTTCTTCCAGAGGGCAAGTAATATCGAGGGTCATTGAGGTCTCTGGGTTGCGAAACTCTTGTGAGCACACTGCAGAGAAGCATGTGGTGACACAGCTGGGACAGTGCTATCTATCTGTTTGATTATGTGAGCTCCATTTTCTCCCTTTTCTCCCTTTTCTGCACTCTCTGTCTCTTGCAAGTGTGTATTGGTCACTTAACAAAATGATATCGTAAATGTACACTGGTTTCAAAGTTGCCAAATGAGCACGTATGACAGACTGAATCATAACACTCATCCACAGAGAGTTCTCAGTAAATCTGTTATTGAGGATGTTTTATTAAATGTGCTTCTATTTTAGAAGAAAAAAAAATCTACTTGTATTTTTGCAATCAGGAAAATTGAAAAATTGGTGAAAAAAAAGTGAAACCTATTATGACTTAATAAATACATAATAAATACATAGAAAAAAACTTTCAAGCTTGATTTTTGTGTTAATCACTTCTTCCAAGCCTTATTTTATCCAGTTGCAAGCAAGCTAGGACATATAGGTCATTTGCAAACATGCTTTGAGACGGTTTAAACTGTTCCTTATTATTTTCTTCACTTAAATTCAGACAGTTCCAGAGTCACAGCTTCGCAGGAAGACGAAACTATTTCTGCACAATGGAGATAAATCTTGAGACATTTTCAGATGTTCTCCCTGGGAACTTAGTGGGCCACTTGATAAGAATTTGCTGGCGTAAGGGATTGTGTTTCAGAAATGCTTTTTTCTCAAGTCACGTTGCCCTACAACATTGAAGCGACCAATAGTCATCGAGACACGTAGACCCACTGCTATAAAGCCAAGGCGTCTTCATTCATGAGCAAACTGCGAAGTGGATCCTGAGCTGCCGTGTAATTTTCATCGACACTCACTATTACATTGGAAAATGCTGCGAGTAAGATGTCTGAGAGGAGGTAGCAGGGGGGCCGAGGCTGCCCATCTGATCGGAGCCATGGTTGGTATAATGGTGGTTTCATTTTCTTCCAAAATTGTTAGGAAAAGTAGTGGTTTGTAAAAAAAAGAAAAGAAAAGAAAAGAAAAAAGAAAGAAAGAAAGCACATTACAGTCAACGTGAATAAAGAAAAAAAAATCGACATTTTCTTCATCAGGCTACATCTTGGCTTTTCTTTCACTTTGGATCAGATTGATTGGCTATTATTCATTGTTTGATTACATTTGATAAACATTTTTAAAAATCGTTAAAGAAAAAAAAAAAAGAGTAAAAACGAACCGACTATTCGCTCTTAAATCAAATTTGATTGTGTCAAAGAATGGATTTGCCTCTAATCGCTGAGAGAGACTTTTTTTTTTTCCTGTGCTCCCTGAGTGACAGTGAACAGCTGTTTGGCACAGATGCGCTCCCAAACTCAGTGACATTTGAGCTGATCCTGAGCCAGCAGGGGCCACATAGTTTAACCTGTCTGTGCAGATAACGCTCCTTAATAACACGTGTACTTCGGCACCAAGCAAGCTGAAGGCATTTTGCTAAGATATCTGAGGTCTTCTGTCTTTTTTATCACCTTGCACAGTTTTATAGTAATTTGATCCGCCTTTTCAATGTGTGAGCAGCCAGTCAAATCAGACATTTTAATATATCATTTATTCTTATTTCTTACTCTTAATGAAAGAAAAAGTTAACACAACTAAACATTCAATTGGGTAACTGCGCTTATTTAGTTTTGCGTAAAATAAACAAACATTTTATATTCAGAAGTAAACCATTTATTTGTTTTTAACAAAAGTGTCCACTAACTTTAAAGAATTGGCATGTAATAGAAAGTTTTGTCAGTATATGTTTCACTCCCAGAGCACAAAATTTAGTGGATTTGTGCAGATTTAGTTTTTCCTTTAAGTCTCTTTTTTTCTCCTTAGCTTGGCCGGGCGGTGACTGGATGGGTGCAGAGGACCTTCCAGAGCACTTCGAGTGCAGCTGCTGCACATTCACATCGTGCAGTTGAAGAGGAACATGTTACTGAACCTGTACAGCAGGAGTGTCCTGTCTGCGCTTACAATGAATGGGATCCTCTGGAGGAGGTGATTGTGGGTCGTGCTGAGAATGCCCAGGTGCCTCCCTTCACTGTGGAAGTGAAAGTAAGCTTAATTGTCAAGATGTCTTCTGAGAAAAATAAGAATCACATAATGTTAAGCCGGCAAAACAGCATCTAAATTGCATCACTGGACACTGGGATTAACTCCATGTTTTGTATTGTAAACCTCTCCACAGGCCAACACATATGAGAAGTATTGGCCCTTCTACCAGCAGTATGGGGGCCAGTCTTTTCCTGCGGACCACTTGAAAAAAGCTGTTGCCGAGATTGAAGAAATGTGCAATATTCTGCGCCAAGAGGGCGTCACTGTGGTGAGGCCAGAACCCCTCGACTGGTCGATGGAGTACAAAACTCCAGACTTCCAATCATCAGGTAAAAAGAAAAGCACACAAACCACAGAGAAGCATTTCTATGTATTTTCTGTCCCCAACCATATTCATTCTTCACTTAACCTTTGTGTGTGAAGTAGTTCATAGCTAAAAAACATTTTACAGCTTGTTTGATGTATTTAAGTATTTCCTGTGTTTCAGTTTGTTTTGTAGAATACTAGAAGTACGAGGCTTAACTGCAGATTAATATTCGGCATGCTAAATTATGAGAAATGTTTAATATAACATCCATTTTTATTCAACTGTAAAATTTAAAAATAGCTACATATCACTGTAGAAATCATTACAGCACCTTTTCCATTTCAATGATCCAATGATTTAATATTGTAAACCTATAGGGGGCCCATTGAGCCTGATTCTTCTGCTACTTTAGTTTGTGTAGACCTATATATTCTCTACTAAAACTGTGCAATCTGTTGAAAACTGGACAATATTTATACATCAAAAGTGCTATCTATACAGGAACCGTGCAATATCTACGCTGTTAATCCATCAGTGTATATTCATATTTGTAAATATTGTTTATATTTTCAATTACTTGCGCTTGAACATAGCTTATTACTTATACTACTTTATTATTGCTTTCACTTTGTACTTATGCTTATTAAATTGTTATTACTATTTTTATTTTATTTTATATTGTGAATGTATCTGTTCTTCCTACTGATTTTTGGTGTTATGAGCAACTGTAGCAAACAAATTTCCCCCTGGGATTTAATTGGGATTAAATTAGATGAAAACACTTTTGTAGCACCAAGTTCTATTTCTGGGAAATATTTACGTCAGCTAATCATGTGTTATGCATTTGTTGCAGGAATGTATGCTGCCATGCCCAGAGACATTCTTATGGTTGTGGGAAATGAGATTATCGAGGCTCCTATGGCGTGGAGGGCTCGCTTCTTTGAGTACCGAGCCTACAGACCTCTGATCAAGGAGTACTTCAGAAGAGGTGCCAAATGGACCACAGCTCCTAAACCCACCATGTCTGATGAACTGTATGATCAGGTAAGGCCTCATTTGACCCTGTTATGAAATATGAGAAGTGTGCAGGGTATTTGAGGACCTCTGATTACCTCTGCACTTTTGCCCCCTTTCTGTTTATTGCACTCCACGAGGCAAGACACTGTTCATTACTGACACTCTATTTCTTACTGGTTTTATGAAGGACTACCCCATCCGCACCGTAGAAGACAGACACAAGCTGGCCGCCGAGGGGAAGTTTGTGACCACAGAACACGAGCCCTGCTTTGATGCTGCAGATTTCATCCGAGCTGGGAGGGATCTTTTTGTCCAAAGGAGTCAGGTATGAAGGCTGATAAAACTTTAACATGGTTGCTATCTGAAATAAAAGGCTCCCTTTCTGAATGCAACACAAGGTCAAATTCTTCATTCTTATCCAAAAGTCTTTCTCTCAAACGTCAGGCATATGCAGAGTGACATGCAACCAAATTGTTCACTTCAAACTAATTCAGACACAAAACAACTCTGCAGACATTGACAATTTAAAAAAACAAAAAAACATCTTCTGTTTTGTTTTTTTGCAGGTTACAAATTATATGGGAATTGAGTGGATGCGTCGTCATCTGGCACCAGACTACAAGATCCATATAATCTCCTTCAAGGACCCCAACCCTATGCACATCGATGCCACTTTTAACATCATCGGGCCAGGACTTGTGCTGTCAAACCCTGATCGCCCATGTCGCCAGGTACTGTGGGACAGGGAGGACTAGTTTCTCAGTGTCTTGTGCTGACATCTAATGTAACAGATTAATTATAAAGTAAAAACAGCACAAAGCGCTCCTTGTTGACCTCTGATCTTTGTCCTCTGACCTCAGGTTGACATGTTCAAGAAGGCCGGCTGGACTATTGTGAAACCTCCAACACCTCTGATTCCTGATGGTTGGTACTCATACAGTAACTTATCTGCTCTTGCACAAGCAGATATTTCAGATATCTTCAACTGTTACGCTCTTTCCCTTTTTGTTTAGACCATCCTCTGTGGATGTCGTCTAAGTGGCTGTCCATGAACGTCCTGATGCTGGATGAGAAGCGCGTCATGGTTGACGCCAATGAAAGCTCCATTCAAAAAATGTTTGAGAGTCTTGGTAAATTCATTTATATAACACATTCAACATTTGCATCATTTTTTGTTCATTTTTACTGAAATGAATATTTGAAGATTGTCTGTATATTAAGAATATTTTAGGAGTATGTGGTTTTTTTATACTGTGTAATGATTTGTAAATATGTTTTTCTTCTGCAGGTATTAAGACCATTAAGGTGAGCATCCGCCATGCCAACTCCCTGGGTGGTGGCTTCCACTGCTGGACAACCGATGTCCGCCGCCGTGGTACCCTGCAGTCCTACTTCCACTAGTCATGCCAGAAATAGGCAGTTTTTATTGAGCTTTGAAGATTAAAGCCTCAGTCCCAAATCTTAACAGAACCGTAATTGTTGAATCTTTATTGTCAGTTGATCGCGTGTGTAGACACAGGTTAATGAAGGTTGGAGCTTTGTGATACAAAAAATGTGCTGTTGGGAAATTAGGAAACCCATCTTAAAAAGTACACACATTCAACATATGTGTGTTTGGAGTATCACACCTGAAGTAATGGTTACTTTGACCTGAACAGGTGGCACCAGAGTCCTTTTCTAGATTGGGTCTTTCTCTCCTAAATGAACCTGTATGAATAGTTTTGACTTGGCATTGCTGTGCATCAGAGTGCTTTTGCAAACAGCTTTGTTCAGATATTTACGCTCATTAGCAACAAATGAACATCACATCAATCAGTAATCTCAATATTAACTGCATTTCTGGCCTGGCTATTGTGAAGCTGAATTGTTTATGGCTTGTTCATCTTGAAGCCAGAACATTTGAGGACAAGGTACAATTTGGTATTTGAGAGTCACCTAGCAAAGGGCACAGGGGGAGATAAACTACCTCCTCTCTCTTTTTCCAACATATTTTTTTACGTAAAGAAATGTACAAAAAGTTGTTACGTAGGGTATTGAACAAGATTCATTTCTTATTTCTACTAGTATTTTTGTAAAGATTTTAATTGATTGAACAGACAAAGTTCTATTTATATTTTCATACTCTTTATTGGATTTCCCAAAAATTGGTGTTTTTATACTTAAGAAGTAGGTGGTCCATATCACATATTGTACACCTTTTTGCCTCCACTGTTTTCTCCTATTGCAAACTGGGCCAGTTACATGCTACTAGTCATTCTGTCTGAACTGCTTGGCTGCTTTTTGAGTGAAAAGCAAAGACGCCTAAAGAATTAATCATGTTTTGTTGTGATGTTTTGTACTATATAACGTTATTAAATCTAATTCAAAACTTTTTGTGTCATTTTTGTGTTAGTGTCTTTTTGATTATATACAGTAATTTTATAAACTTCCAATATCTGCATTACTTAATGGACCGATATGGTAGTCTTACAAATTCAAACCCATAATTCAGATCTGTGCAAGAATCACCAGGCAAGGCAAGTTTATTAATAAAGCATATTTCAGCAACAAGGCAGTTCATAGTGCTTCACATACATCATGACATCTGTGTTTGGTTCTGACTGTCGGGACAGAGAGCAGACCTGTCCCAGACGACCTGAACAGTCTGGATGGTTCATAGTTTATCAGAGGTCACTGATGTATTTTGGCCCTAAACCATTAAACGCTTTTTAAACCAGCAGCAGTATTTTAAAATCTATTCTCTGACAGACTGGGAGCCAGTGTAAAGACCTCACTAGGATCATTTATTTAAGTTAAAGGATTATTATCAGTAAAATATATTCAATTAAAAGTACAAAAATAAGTTTAAACATTAATCAAAGAATAGGACAGGAGTATCATTAGAAGAAGCCAAGTAAGCAGCATTGTTCTGTCCTCGAGTTGGACTTTTTAAAAACTCCATAAATACTTCATTTTTTATTGCATAATATTTCAGAAGCTGATTGTACATGTCAGTGGAAACTTTCAATTAGGAAGACGTGGTCAAGAAAATGTTGCAGAAGATAAACTGCAATATTGCCCTTTGTAATATAATGTAGAAATGTAGAAGTATAAGGTGGCACATATATAAACCTGAGCACAATTCTGATGAAGGTATACTGAACCTGAGTTGTGCAGTTCATGAAGTTGATTGTACTCTGGAGTAGAATATCACACTCTCAGCTGTGTAAAGTAGATCATTGTGAGTCACACAGACCTGTGAACCTGGTATCTGTTCACCTGGCTGATAGATTAACACCTTCATGTCTGTAAACATTAACTAATCTATGATGTGTCAGAGGGAGAGGTATTACATCATGTATTATGAAACCTGATCCAAACAGATTATGCTAAGTAGGTTTAAATTTAATTGCAGTTGTTGAAGTGCAACATCTATTCTTCAGTGTAATTGTCAATTCACTCTTTTCTTCTCGTTAGTGAGGTGGTAAAGAGTCCCTCACATAAAAACAGGTAAGGGAAAGGTTTCTTTAGGTGACATTTTTAATATACAAAGAGGTAAAGTGCTGCACTATTTATCAAAACTGACAAAGGGACCAGTTAGGGAAATTGGGAAAGGTAAAAATAAAAAATAAAACTTCACTTGTAAAAAAAAAAAAAAATGTGGGGGTTTCATTGGGCAAGGGCCAATAAATACAGATAAATGGAAGCGCTGGGCCAATTTTTGGTCCCAATCTAAGCTCTAATTTGACAATGTGGAGCAGTATCGTTTTCTAACTAGTATTTGAGTTATTTAAATCAACAAACAAAAGTTTGTTTGTGAAAAACAAATGCATGAAATGGATTTAATATCCTGAATAAACCCAAGTTTGACCCCTCACAAGTTACCTAAGGCAGAGGTTAACATTTTCAGTTGTTCACCAATAAGGTTCTGGGTACCCAAACCTTGAGCAGCTCTCAAGAATTTTCCTACCGGAGTTAAATTTAACTCTTTTTATGTATTTTTGTGTATATGGTATAAGACACCTTCATGAACAGTTATGTGATTACATTTCTTGGTAAGGAATAGAGTTTTGTAATATGACCTCACTAGGTTGTTTTGTGACAGTATATCTGTATTCTGCTGCCACCTAGTGGTTAAAATGAGCAGTTGCATTGTAGAAGATATTAAATTAAAAAAAAGCAAATTCAGCTGTAACGATTGAGAATACAATTTCCCCCCCTAAGAGGAATTTATTATACACATTAACTGTGAAGGCATCCCTTCAAGATGTCATCCTTAGGCCAGATTTTCAATCAATCAATCAATCATTATCTGTATAGCGCCTAGTGTTATCTTGAGACGCTTTACAAGAGCATATGGGATAATATGCAGGAAGGATTTCTCCTCCTTTGCATTCCTGTTGACCACACTTCCTTGCATTTTGATTATTGCACAACACAAAATCTGTCAATGCAATCAAGCCTGAGTCCTGTTACTCATTTGAACTAATGTGTGACAAAATATTCCAGTCTAGATCCATTTGTTCTGTCAGGAGAACATTTAAAGGGGCAGTTTCTTCATATCTACTAAACCGTTTCCAAGTCCTGCTGTTTCAACATGTTCATTTGAAAATACCAAAGTGGTTTACAGTGAAAACATCCCCACTATGTGACACTGAGCACAACCATACTCCCCACTCAACCTGCCTCACCTTTGTCACACTGCGGTTTTGGATTGGAAACTACAGGGTAAAAAACATCAGGCTGTAGCTTTGGCCTCCTGCGCTGATAAATCCCATTCATTGAATCCCTCTGTAGATAGGTGACCGTGCCGTGTGTCTGGTTTATTTGAATCATAGTCACTACTCTTTCCAGATGTTCAGCCATACCTAATTTTCTCTCTGTGTCCTATGTACGTATGTAGTCCTCTGCAGATGGATTGCATGTTTGTACAGCTGCCTTATTGAGCAGCACTGCAGCTGCCTTTAACAGGACAATTGATCAGGATCATGATCAGGCCTCAATGTCTGCAGGAAAACTGAAGTCATCGCCTCAGGTTCTCTTGACTGAAGACTGCGTTATAGTCTGAATGAAGTCCAGAGCAGTTAGCAGCTAGCTTTTAGCTTAAGCAACGACAATGGGAGAAATTGGTGGATAAAAATGGACCAATGGAAAAAATAGTTGAATCAATAAATACACTTGAATCAGAGACTGCACTTTGGTGTCTGCAGGTACCTGCTTTAGTTAAAAAATACAGTTTTATCAACCAAGAAGCAAAGACAAAGTGAATACAAGGTGTGCAGATTAATGAATTGCCCAGCTGTTATTTTACTGAGAACAGTTGTAGTTATATATATAACTCTTATTCTTATAGTCAATGCAAACTTTACTAAGAACTGTGACACGGTGATGCTAGAACAGTGAATCTGCGTTGCCTTCATGTTTCCCCTGGTTTACCATGTGCACATTTTCTTTTCAAAGTACTTTAAGTGAATGCAGTTGCTGTACAGAATGGCTGTAATTGGGAAAGGGAAAAACAAACCAGCTCTACATACCAGATCCACTAGAGAAGATACGACTTGCAGAGAAGTATTTTTCATATAGTTTGAGCATTTATAGTTTTTATAAAAAATATTTAATAAACTTAAATTTGACTTTCACTGTAAACTCCTCAGACTTGCAGTATATTCTGATTTTGTGATGTTTGATTTCTTGATTACATTAAATGTCACTGCTTATAATATCGATGAATAATGATGTGACTGTAGTCATACTGAGGATTGAGTATTCTTGTAAATCCATATAACAAGCATAAAAACCTACCTACCTCTGCAGTTCAAAGCTTGATCCGAAGGCAACTGGACTTGTTTGAAGATCTTGAACCAAGGTCTTGGACTTTGGATCAAGCTTTGAATTTACCATGACCTGGATCAGGGGCGTGTCCAGAGTTTTTTGATCGAGGTGGCCCGAGGGGGCACTGACTTATGCAGGGGTGGCCTGAAATGTGAGGTGTGCACAAAGACACACAACTATAAATGACTTTCCTTTCTAACTACACCAATAATATCTACATTAAAACACAAGATAATGGCAAGATAAGCTTATTTTTGATACAAACAGATGTATGTTCAAAACATACAGTGCATTATTTTCCTATACACCTGTCTTATGAAATAGATGTGCAAAGTTTTTATTGACATTTTAAATTACAACCAAAAGAAAATATTATACATTGTATGTGCAGAAAAATACTAGCAGCCTTTTGCTACATACATTAAATCCTGCCTTTGACAGGGCAAATAGCCAATCACAGTTAAGTGTTTTTAGGGTGGCAAATCAGATTTCTAGTCTAGACATGCCCCTCACCTGGATGACTGAGAACCTAATACAGACATCTACCTCTGCAGTGTCTAAGTATTTTACTTCTATAAATGTGCTGGCCTTGCCTGAAAGAACAGTTCAAGTCAAAGCGGGCTAGCTAGAGGGCTAGCTATCCTAGCTTTAAGTGTAGTTTTGACGAAGCTTCAGATACACAGCACATCTCCTAAAATAAACAAAAAGCTTCTCGTTGTGTCTTTCTGCCCGGTAAACGTCCACTTCTTCACTTTTTCTGTCTCATGCCCTCAGTTGAAATAAAGGCTATCTGTTGTGAATTTGGGGAAGATTTGACAAATAGTCATGAAATGTTTTTAACAAAAGTAATTACAGGCTGGACAGAACTTACAGTAAGACCTTTATCTCTAAACTGGTTGGAGTGCCTCTTCAATGCGATAATTGATATCCAGTTACATGAACAATAAAAGGTCAACCACTTGGTGAGGGAATCAATAACATTTTCCAAAAACAAATTAAAGGAGGAAACATTTTTGTCAGTTGACTATTATTTCTTTGTTCGGATTACTGGAAGTTTGAATTAATGTTTGGTATGACGGCGTTCATTAGAACTATTAGTGATTCAGGACTATTAAGCGCAGCATTCATAATGTGTCACAGCAGAGAGGATCACTGGTGAATTGACGTCAGCGAGGTTTCATGCTCAGCCTTTAATTTAATGCTTCGAACAAGTTGTCCTTTAACTTGTCTACTGTAACAGGAATGACTGTTTTGCATTGGATCACAGCCAAGAACTGTGTGTTTGAAAAAAGGAAGACAAATGTGAGCACAACATGTGCAGACAATCCATAACACAACAGCATGTTAGTGTTGTTAGAACAAGTGTTTAGGTTGTTTTTTGTTGTGTCTGAGAGCCGTGTGAGACTCAGACTCTGAACTGATTAAAAGGCTGGATTGTGTTAAATAGTGATGTGAAACTGAGAAATGTTCAGTTGCTACATTTACATCATTGTGAGCTGTAGAATACCAGCTGTTCTGAGGCTTTAAAAAAAATTCCAATTCAACTAATCAGTCCTACGA